AGGACTTCTTTTCCACTCTCATTTTGTGTCAGTCCTGCCTGGCAGGGAGGAAGAAATGGGTTTGTTCTCCTGGCAGTGGCTGGAGGCACTTGTGTGCGAAGGGAATTCTGCCACCCCAGTGTCCCTTCTCCCCACCAGGACATCTCCAAACGCTTCCCAGTGCAGGAGGTTCATCTGGCATTGCAATGGGCTCCTGCAGCCTTGCTCCTGGCTCTCGTGCTGTGGCATAGGAGTCCTTGAGGGTGCGCTGAAATTCAGGGCTCTGGAGAAGAAACATTTCCTGCTGTGCTTTGAGTGTGAAGCATCGCAGGCGCCCAGGGCTGCTCAGCCCATGGAGCGCTGGCTGCTGCACAAGAGGCGAAGCGGGGTTATTTGAGGTATATTTAGTTACTTTTATTCTCCACCCCTCTATTACTGCTCCATTTGAACGGTTGCTAGATACCATCAAAAGGAAAGAGTAAATGTATTTGGATTTCCCAGCCTGCTTGCAGGGAAAGATGGCACATAGCAGTCTTCCTCTGCTGCTCTGGACTAATCTAGACATTGATTTGATTCTTGCCTCCACGCTACTATGGATATTACGAATATATTCAAGTAATGAAAAGAGGAGGAGAGGTTTGAAGACAGATGGTAAACTGCATTAACTGAATACCCACAGGAATAGGAAAGCTGACTTGGGCGCAAGCCAGGAACAAAGAAACACAGCATTACATCAGGGAGGGTATAACTGCCCTTGTTTTGACGTCACCAAATGCTGCAGAGCACCACAGGGTTCAAACCTTCCCTTGTTAGTACATTTCTGAGAGCTCTTTGGGAGCAATACCAGCATCTTCCTCCTTCGTCACTGTGTGGTGGCAGTCAGTACCTGAATAACTGCGAGCTAACTGGAGGCATGCTGGGGTGAGACTGAAAGAGTGAGGGTAGCAATGGTGACACAGGTGTTTGCCTCTTGATGGATGCACAGGCATCCAGAGCAGCTCTTTCCTTTCTTTGTTAGATGATTTCTTCATACAAACCCAAACAAAACAGTCGACTTAATCACCCTCCTCCTGACCAGAAATGAACAGGAGAGAGGAACATCTATTAATACATTTCTTTATTTTTAAGTGCTCTGCATGTGTTCTTTGGTGATGGATCAATACAAGTAATGAGTTTCCTCCATCACTGCTATTTCTGTCTCCTGTGCTATCATGCCAAGCCAAAGCAGGTCCTTGGCACTGGAGTCCATCTGTCCCTGCTGCCATCCCTGAAGGGCTGTGGGTACCAGAAGGGCACCCGAATTACTCAGTTCCAGCAGCTTTTCAGCATTATCCCCTCTGGGAAGGTATCAGTATCCAAACTGCTTTGTCCTCTCCTCCTCTCCCTCTGAACAGGAGGGCTTGTGAACTCAGATCCCCTCTTACCCTAGAAACGAGCGTACTGAGGTGTATCAGAGAGCACATGGCTTTCAAATATGGATTGATATGGTACAATCTATCTCTAAAATCCATGAAACCCCACTGGGAGCCCTCATGCTCCTTCCTGCACCTTCTTGCACCTTGCTGTGAGCTGTGCCGGGCTCTTCAGGAGCTTTTCTTCCCAGATGTGCTGATTCAGTGTTTGCAAACCCAGTTTTGGAGACTCCAAGGAACTTGTTGTACAGCGCGATACAGGTGAATGTTCTGCTGGGCTCAGGTTGGTTGCTGCATTGTGCTACCAGTGCTTATTGATGACAACCTCTTTACTGTGTTGAGTCCTCCTTGGACCATAAACACTGTCATAGGGCCTTCAAGGTGATCTGAGGGTGAGGAGGGAGCAGGCCAGAGGCTTTGCCTGATTTGGCTTCTTCCTTGTGCTCTGTATATAAACCACAGAGTGGTTTGGGTTGGAAGGGACCTTATAGCTCACTTAGTTCCAACCTGTGCCACGGGCAAGGACACCTTGCACTAGAGCAGGTTGCTCAAATAGGTTGAGTATTTTACCATTCTACTGGAGACTCTGCTAAGGAAAACTTGGTGCCTGGTGGTGAGAAAGGGTGGGACTGGGAGGAGCAGGGGTTTTTAGTCAGGAAAGAGTTTTAAAGCCACAGCGGTAGTTCAGGGCCCTGGTGTTGATCCCCATGCTCCCTGCTTTGTGCTCTCCTTGGGCATGATGTAGCCACAATGTGTAGCAGGTGCTTTGGAAAAGCACGGCTGAAAACGCAGCGTGGGCTCAGTTCAGGCGGGTTTTGGTAAGACCCTGCAGTGATTTCCCCACAAACCCCAGAGGTTGCACTCGCTGTCCCCAAAGCTGCCCCGTGAGCCACACAAGGTGCTTTTCTGTCTTCCGTGCTCTGTGGTACACCAGTGTCCAAAACGTGGAACGAAGATGAATCCAACCACTCATCCAAGTCATTTTCTTTTGCGCCACAGGAAGAAAGAGTCACTTGTCAAAAATGAAAAGTCTCACCCAGTGGAAATCACCATCTCATCGGGAAAGCCCCAACCAAGGGAGGAAAAGTCTTTATATTTAGAGCTGTGTGCTATGGTGCAGCAAGAGTGCAGCTCACATTTCCATTTGCTCAACGGTGCGGCTGCTGTGGTGTAGATACAATCTCGGGAACACCGCGTGTAAACTGCAGTGAGCAGTTTCCACTTCACAACTGCACAGTAGTGCTGCAAAATCAGGGCTGGAGGAGGAGGCCGCTGTGATCACTGAGGTCAAGGGTGTCTCTTGGTCCAGGGAGCAGCGACTCCTGTCGATGGGAATGCTGCACGGGTGGTCAGATGCCAGATGATCCAGAGAAATAACCCGAGAGAAGCATCTTGATCCTCTGCTGTCTGTGGCAGAGGTGGTCACCTGGATAAACCCATCTTCTAGTGGCCAAACTCCAATACAGTGTTCACTGCTCCTGCAGGTTTTGGTGATGATAGGAAGGATGGGAGGCATAATGACAGTCTTCCAGTGCCTAAAGGGGCTACAGGAAACATGGAGAGGGGCTTTGGACAAGGGCCTGTAGGGACAGGCCAAGGGGAATGGCTTTAACCTGCCAGAGGGGAGACTGAGATGAGCTCTTAGGCAGAAGCTCTTCCCTGGGAGGGTGCTGAGGCGCTGGCACAGGGTGCCCAGAGAAGCTGTGGCTGCCCCATCCCTGGCAGTGTTCAAGGCCAGGTTGGACACAGGGGCTTGGAGCAAGCTGCTCCAGTGGAAGGGGTCCCTGCCCGTGGCAGGGGTTGGGGCTGGATGAGCTTTAAGGTCCCTTCAGTGCAAACCAGGCTGGGATTACTGATGATGTTAGAATCCCACTTGAACGTATTTCACTTGGGAACTCCAGTGCAGCTCAGTTTTGGATAAAACCACTCTCTAGAGCTCCAAATGACCTAATTAAGGCTTCCCCCCCCCCCCCCCCCCGACTCCTCCAAGCATCTCCTCCGATCCCTGGGCGCAGCCTGACCGGGAGAGGCCACCCCAACCCTGATACCCTCTGGACCTTGGAGAAGGGACGGAACCCGCGGTGCCGTGAGGGTCCCCGCACCCCTCGGGGAACAGCCCCAGGGACCTGCCCCCTCTCCCGGAGCCCTGGTTTTATTGTGCCTGAAAGGGGGTTTTTGTGCAGCCTCCCCCCGGGCAGGGCAAATCCCGGCAGCTGAGAGGCTGCTGAGGGTGGTGTGATGCTCTGACCTGCCAACAACAATTCAGCGCAGTGTTTCCTCTCGGAAAAGGCATTTGCATATCCTCTGTTCGCTTTATTTGCTTAAATACATTTGAAAAGGCAAAAGCTCTGGGTCATTGAGACTGAAGAATGGGCTGTCTGAGGGCTTTCCCCCCTTTAACCCTTTGAAACCTTGCTCCAGCGTCTTAACGCATCTTACAGTGGGCAGAAAGGGGGGTTTAAAGGCTGCTTTTGCAGGAGGGAATGGGGCTGGAGAGGAAGGAGGCAGCAGGAAGGTGTGTATCTCCGAGCTGAAAACTGCAGCAGAGATTTGGGGAGAGTTTGCAGAACGTAGCACGGACAGGAATGTCTTCAGGGGGGCTTGAAAACCGCCGTGGAAATAAGAGAGCAAAAGCCGGTTCCAGCACAGGGAGCTGCAGGGTGTGAAAGTGGAAGGTGGAAGTGACTAGGAACCAAAATACAAACACCCGAGTGCTTCTTTAGTTAACAAAATAAACACGGAAACAACCCCGATGTTTAAAAGCATCCAGACAGTGTAACCACTGCTTGCTGCTGTCCGGGGAAAAGGAAGTGTCAGTGATTGCACTCTGAGCGTTCAAAGGCAGAGAATACTGAAGCACAAGAGCATCTCTTACCAGTAGGAGTCTGAGAGAAGAGCTCTTATGAACAAACACAGCACAGCAACTTGGTTTCAATCCCGTATTTCATTCAAATCAGTATTCCCGCATCCCTTTGGAGCTCCATGATGGGCACTGCCTGTTCTATCTGTGGCTGCAGGCACTGAAGCCCTGGGGCTGCTGAAATGGTCTCCTGAGGACAAAGTTTCTGCCAGGCTGTGGCTTCTGAGGGACAAAGGGCAGGAATCTGAGCTGGTGAATGTTGCTGAGGTCCCATTAAGCCAGCACTGTGATGCTGATTTACACCTGCAGACCATTTAGGCCAGTTTTACCCTGGTGATTTGATGAATGAAAGGCTGATTGCTGCGTACCCACATGCGAGCCAAAGGAGGGATGTTTGAGATCTCATTAAATTCTCTTCAGTCGTGAAGTGTTCTTGGAGAATTCTGCTTTGTGCACAGTGCAGCAAGTACAATTTAGAATGGGGCAGATATTAACTATGGTAACAGTGAGAGTGTTCGGACAGCATCTCCCCCTGCGCTCAGCCAAGTGATTGTGGAGATCCAGCCTGTACATGGTGTCAGATAAAGAAGAGGTGAGGAGAACAGTAACTTCCCCATGGCCAGAGCAGGCATCCACCCTTGGACCCCTCAAGTGCCCCAATTCTGAGAAGGACTCAACAGTTACTCTGATATGGTGAGGAGGCTCCTGGGGCCACACACCCGTGTTATCTCTGCTCAGAGGTGGGGAGCTGGAAGCAAGCGGCCTGTTGGCTCTCAGCTGAAAGGAATGTCCTTTCAGTCAGGAGAAACGTCTCAGGCAGAGCTCTCAGATCTCAAATATTGGTAATTTTACTCCCACAAATGAACCACAAAGTTTTTATTTTGTTATTGTCAGTGTAAATTAACAGAAAGGAAAGGGTTTGGCTTAAATGCCAGGTTTTTTCTTTGCTTTTAATGTGTGTAGCAATAAAATCATAGAATGGTTGCGGTTGGAAGGGACCTTCAAAATCAGAAGTTATATATATATATATATATGGATGATGTTGGCAGTAGTTTTCCTCTTACTGTTTTACTGATTCAGATGATTTACATTTGTTCTGCTCAAGCTGTGAAGTTTCTAATCTAGGACTGGCAAGCAGGCTTGCTTAGTGTCAGAAACTTCATTTTATGATGATTTTTCTCCCCCAAACCCACCCCATAAAGTGATGCTGTCTTTCATTTTCCACTGAGCCCTCGCAGGAAGGCTGTATGCCGTTCTACATCCAGAACCCTCCCCTCGAGCTGTAAAGCTCCGGGGATGTGTCAAACCCATGCAATATTCAGCATCAGAAGGGATGAGCTTTGCCCATCGCAGAACAAGGCTCCCACGGCCGGATGATGCGGCGCGTCCGGTGCCTCAAGGGTTACCGGGGCACGGCTGCTAATGCCGCTTAAGCTGATCTTAGCCGAGCTTAACTTCTTTCAGCAGTTTGCAGATGGGAAGGGGGTGGGCCGGCCTGCAGTCAGCAGTTCTTCACCAAGGACACAACGCCAGCCATGAGCTGACGGCGGGCAGGGGCAGAGCAGGGAACCGGCCTCCCCGAGCCGGTAAGTGCGCGCTGGGGTTGAACGTTTAAGTCTCAAAGTGTCGGTGCGGGACCCGGGGGTTCGCCCAGCCGCTGTTGGGCTCCGGGGGGCCGGGTAAAACCCTCTTAGGCCCCCCCAATAAGGGATGCGGGGACCCCTCTGTGCAGAGCGGCGGGGGGGGGGGGGAGCTCAGTGCGGTTCCCGGGGTCGCGATGGGGCGGGTGAAGCCGCAGCGGCAGAGAGTTTGTGGCTCTCTCAGTTTCCTTTTGTTTCCGATCTTAGAGGGGGGGGAGAGCCACAGCGCGGCTCTGGATGGTGATGGCAGCGGCCCCGGTCCCGCATGGGCTGCGGAGCTGCATCCCCAGGGGTACATCCCGGGTACCGGCAGCTCTGCCCGCGCAGCGGGGACAGGGCAGTTGGATGCAGCGGTGGAGGCTGGTCCCTGGGGCCAGGAGGGCTCTGCTGGCTTGGGCTTTGTTGTCCCAGACTCCCGGCCCACGTGCACGTGTAAGGGCTTGTTTCTGATCGCAGGAACTCTGCAGAGACCTGAAAACTCGTTTATTTGTGGTCGAGCTGCAGTCCTGGGTCAAGTTCTGGAGCCCACAACATAGTAAGGATGTGGACCTGTTGGAGAGAGTCCAGAGGGCATGGAGATGCTGCAAGGGCTGGAGCAGCTCTGCTCTGGGGCCAGGCTGAGAGACCTGGGCTGGGTCAGCCTGGAGAAGAGAAGGCTCCTTAAGGGGAGACCTGAGAGCAGCTCCAGTTCCTAAAGGGGCTGCAGGAAACCTGGAGAGGAGCTTTGGACAAGGGCCTGTCGGGACAGGCCAAGGGGAATGGCTTTAACCTGCCCGAGGGGAGACTGAGATGAGCTCTTAGGCAGAAGCTCTTCCCTGTGAGGGTGCTGAGGCGCTGGCACAGGGTGCCCAGAGAAGCATGATTCTATAACACCCCGCTGGTTTCTAGGCTTCCTGTATGTTGAGTTTCAACCCCCCAGACTTTGAGGTGGGCTCTCAGTGATGGATGTCACTGCTGTGGGGTCTCTGGTGCTCGTGGCTGACTTGTGCCCCTGCCAAAGCTACATTGTGGTGGCAGGTTACAAGTGTTAAATGTACCAAGTGATGTGGTTCCTAACCAAGGGCTGTGGATTCACACCTTCAAGCACATAACCACGTGCATGCTTCATCCATGTAGGAAGAGCCTCCTGGTGCGTGGGGTGCCAGCATCAATGGTGGTGTGTCCTGGTGCTAGGCACAGAGTGTGGAAACCTCTGTAGGCATCAAATGCCTGCTGTGGATATTGAGTGTGGCTTCTTGCTTCCCGTGTTGCATTAGTGTGTGCCAGCCCTTGGTGCACCCCATCATTTGGCATGCTGATACAGGTTGTGCTGGGGATGTGAAAAGGATGCTTTCAGGGGGTTCAGAGATGCTCCTGGAGGTTCCTGGAGCTGTATGGCCTGGGCACTGAGTGCACCCACCAAGGCAACTGTACAGCTGCATGGCCTCCTTGGGAAGACTTCTGCACCCATCAGTGTGGTTATTTGCTGTTATCAGTGAGGTGAGAGCGGTCCCTGATGCGGTGACTGTTTCTGCAGCCATCAGCCTGGTTTTCACACGCACCACAGGAACACAAAGCCCTGTTCCTTTAACAGCACCGTGATGTTTCCTGCACAGAGAACATGCAGAGATTATTTCGAGCAGCTCTGCCTGGCTGCGGGCACTGTGTTTCAGTGACACCACAGGCTGCTGGCAGTGGGCAAGGCTCCTTGCTGGGCTTCTGCTGCCTGCCCCCCTGCCTGTCCCTCTGCCTGCAGCCCATCTGCAGCACAGAGGGAGCTGCTCTCCTTAGGTCCTTCAGCAGACCTGCCCCTTCCTTTCCTGGCCCCTTACTACACTGCTTGATAAACCTCAATCAAAGCCTTCCTCATCAGCTGGTAATTTGCTCTGGGACAAAGCCTGGGCCTGGTTTTAGTGGTCACATTGTGTGTGCACAGGGTCTGGATAAACCCCTCCTCCCTCCATGTGCACTTACACCTTTGGGGTCCCCTCATTCCTTCCCATCTGCGTGGACAGGGTGCTTCAGAGCAGCACTACAAGTCGCAAGGCACTTGATTGGTAATTAACCTGGTATAATTATAGCTGGCTTATGTGAGGGATGCGACTGTATCTATTGTAGTTAGATCGTGACAGTGCTGTTACTTTGTTTAAGCTCCATTTTTCAGTATCATTTTCCAGTTTCAGATTCCAGTGTGACCATCATAACACTTGATGGGCTCACAGCTGGCAGAGGGGCTTTTAGCCTGCTCACTGTATGGCTCTGCTTTTACTGCAGTGCCAGGTCACTGTTTTGGAGCTCTTCAAGATTCATACTGGCTTAAAGAGAATTGCTCCTTATAAAGACAATGCTTAGCTGTTACATAGTACAAGCTAGCAGGTCTCAGCCTTGGTCTACATCTGTGGTGGGATACTGCATGGGCAGCATCCTGCAGACAGCAATGGGATGGATTTCCATCCTCTTCATGGCTGCAGGCAATGCCAGCTGCAGTTTGTCCTGCTCAGCCCTGCTGCAAACACTTCCTGTGTGAGTGTTGTTATTACAGGAGGACACGTGAAACTGAGATCTGACCAAGGAAGAGTTTCAGTCCAGTCTGAGCCCTCTGTGAACCAGCACAGGCTAATGCATGGCTGGGAAGTGGTGTACAAAACGTTCCTTCTTTCCTATCCTCTGCAGCACTAGCTCTGAGCGTGCCATTGTGGATCTCTTAAGCATTATGGAAGGTGTTTTACAAGCTTATTTAGGTTTCTATGTCACTTGGGGTGATGCATTCCCAGGGCTTGCCTGAATATAAAGCAGTGGCCGTGCAGGATGCTCAGTGTTATTCTGGTCCTGCTGCCAAGAGAAACAGCAGCGACCAACCCAGAAAGGATTGCACCATTCCATGGGCCAATGCACAAATATTTGTGCTGGTGCTTGGGAATGGGAATGGCACCAGGGGCTGCAGGCTCCTTGCACTGGCAGGATTCGCTGTGCCATCCATCCATAGCTCGCCATGTGATGGAGCATCGCAGCCTGTGCAGGCTGCCACTGCCACAGAACCTCCAGGGTCCTGGGTTCCTCCCTGGAGCACAGCCTCTGCAGACAGTGCTGAGCTCTAGTGAAATCCAATTGATATCTCAAGGCGAACGTCAGAACTTTGCCTGGCAACAGCCATCAGGGGCTGTGCACAGCACCCTCATCTCTGTGCTCTGCAGATCGGGCTGTCGGGGTGCAGCTGCCTCTTTGCTCTCTGTTCGGCGCTTCCCTTTGTGCTCTGCCCCAGATAACTATTTTTATACACTTATTTAAACTGCTTGCTCGCTGTCTGTCACACGGTGCTCAAGAAGGGAGCAGAAGATGGGACCATCACCCATCAGTCTCATTCAAATCCCCCCCTAAAACCAACCACAAGCATTGAAAGAAACAAACCCCAAACCAACAAACCCCGTCTTGACATTAGCTGAGATTTACAAGTGATCCCAGGTACCTCTGGGACAGAGGGAGCTTTAGAGATGCTCTGCAAGCAGCTTCCAGAGCTGAGCCCCAGCCCTGGCAAGAGCATGGACAGGAAACAGCCTCACTTCATGACGGCACATATGAGCTATCAATATAAGCCCCAGCAACCTGCACAGGAGTCGCTGGCACCTGTAAGCTCTGCCATAAGGCTGAAAGGCAAATTCTTTCTTGCTCTAGTCACCTCCAGGTGTTGTTCCCATGGGCTATGCTGCCTGACCTAGGAAGTGAGCAGGGAAGGATCAGGCTGTGGTCTCCCAGAGGAAACTCTGCAGCCCTGAGCTGGGTTTGGCACAGCTGTAGGAGCCGTCCTGATAGAGCTGCAGGCAGAAAACCAAACAGTTCTGGGGCTTTGCTTTTCATTCGGGCTGGGTTTAGCTTGGAGGAACTGAGGGAGCCCGCTTAGTGTGAGCACAGAGCAGCCACAATGGGATGAGAGGGATGAGACAAGTGTAATGAGGGACCCAGGGTTAAGCACCCCAAGTGGGTTTTGCCATCTGAACTTCATCCTCTGCAACCACTGCAGCCAACTGGCTGGTGTTTTCATCCCGATGAATGAAACCTTGTGACTCGTTCATCACATGCTGGTGCTGGGTAACGTTTTGAGGACATTTTGGCTGGTAGAGGAGCTTTCTCATCGCTGTAACTCACGGAATGGAGACACTTCGGAGACATCAAAGAGCGTTTCATTCTGGTAGGAAACTTCAATATACTTGTACAGGCTTTTAATGCTTCCGTATCCAGTTGAGTGGCAGATTTGGACCAGGATCCTCGTCTCAGCTTTCCTGCACACGAGTGGCTGCAGGGTACCACTGCTGAGGGGTGCAGAAGGTATCTATAGGTTGGCTCAGATCCATGAGCCCAAGCGTGGGGAGGAGGCATGGGACTGGAGGATGAAGCTTTTGGGGGATTTGGAATTGGCAGCTGAATAGGTGCACCCGATGCATGGGGACAAGGATGAGCTGGTGGCGTAGCTCTGAGTAGGGGCCATTTCCAGCCAGCTGGGTGGTGGGTTTTGCTCTTTGGAACATTACAAACATGTAAAGTAAGTTCTTAGCACAGCCACTGAATTATTTATTGAATAATTCCTCTTGGCAATGGGCTGTTTTGCTGTAGATATTTCAGATACTTTAAATGCCTCTATTTGCAATTACAGTGCTTTTTGGGTAAACTTGGACTTTCAGGACATTGAGCTCCTTGTGAGCATTTCTCACTTTTTAGTGGATGCTTGCAAAGATCTTGAGTATTGCAAATGCATTTCCTTGCAAACACATTTCCTTGCAAACGCATTTCTCAGCAGCAGAGCAGAAGCAAGCAGAGGCCACTGCAGCTCCTCTGGGTTGCTTGGAGATTCCCTTTTGTCTGTGCCCTGCCTTTGGCATTGGGGTGCCGACGAGGAGGCTGGTGGGTCAGTGGCGCTGAGAATACACCAGGTATACACTTGTGTGTCTATGCACACACACATATAGAATCACAGAGTGGTTTGGGTTGGAAAGGACCTTAAAGCCCATCCAGTTCCAGCCCCCTGCCATGGACAGGGACACCCCTGGCTATGTGAGCTCAATCTGCTGGGAACAGTTCATGTCCCACTGCTTGGCTGAGCCCAACCTCAACCCAGAGAGGCTTTAGGAGGGGAACTGAAGTTTTCATCCATCTCCTCGTCTTCTGTGCCCACGCAAGCCTTGCGGAGGTTAACGGAGGCTGGCTTGGCGCCGTCTCCGGTTTTAATTACAGCAGTGATTAGGAATTCATAGCCCGTGGTCTCCCAGGAGCTGCTGCCCTGGCCAAGTTGGGGAAAAGTCAATGGTACCTGAGCTGCATTTAATGACAGCAGCTCCTCCCGGGTTTGCTGTCCCATCGTGTGCTTGCGGGAAGCTTGGAAAGAGGAAGAGGGTAGGAACACAACAGCGCTCCACAAGCAACCCACCAAATCCCCAGATGCCCTGTGCCAGCCTCTATGAACGCATCAGAAACGCATTCATCACTGCAATAGCTTTCATTTAAACTAGCAGATGGTTTCCAGTGATGCAGCACAATTAATACCCACCAGCTTTATGTGTTTGATGCTCCCTTACCCGCTGTAAATGGAGACTCTCCTGCAGTGACAGTCACAAGATGATTTGAATCCCTGTCTCAAAGCCGTCTGAACCTGTGTACAGACACTGCTTTTTGCTCTGCAGGGGAAGGTTAGGGACAGTGCTCCAAACTTTGCTGGGTGCTTCCTTGTGCAAATCTTCTGTCACCAACCCCCTTTCTGGAAGGAAACTACAAATCTCAAGGACATGGGGTTTATGGAGCTGAATGTGTGAAAACAGCTTTAACGGTTCAAAAGGCTCAGACTGATTCGCTTGAGTGAAACCCTTCTAAATCTGCCCCTCTGGATTGAGATGTTTCAGGTCCTGTGCACTCTGTTTCCTCAGTACATGAGTGAGCAGCCAGTGCCGTAGCCAAGGACACGGCTGGGGTGATGGGGGTATGGAGAGGAGCTGTGGGTCTGCAGGCTCTGAGCCATCCCGCGCACCCTGGCTGCGTTTCCTCACTGCAAACAGTTAATTCTCTCAGACACGCTGAAAAGCTGCTTATTTGGTTTGGGTTTAGTGCTCTCAAGTCAAATGTAAATAGCCCTTTTCTGGTGCCTGAATGTTGGGATAGGGATTAGACCTTTTGCCCAGTTTCCAAGCGAAATGAATGACCCGCCTGGTCCCTGTCCCGCACATTGTGGGCAGGGAGATAAAGGCAGCTCCAAAGGAGCTCTCCTTCCCGGGAGCCGATGTAAGGGTAGGAAGGATGTGATCGCATGGCTGCACAGGATGGGTGAAGTTTTAATTGCCTTATGCATACCCCAGCAGCGAGAGGCTGTTCCCACACTGGTTTATGTCACTGAAACTCCATTGACTGCACTGGAGTTACAGCATCACTTCCAGCAGGAAAAGATCAAAGTGGAACCACACAATAGTGCTGTTTGTGATGAGGAAAAGGCATAAATAAGCACTGTCCCTGTGGGATTGCCTCCTCACAAAGGCTGGTTCATGGTTCAGAGCCTGGTGTCGCTGCTGGCTACACAAGGGTTGGCTGCAGAAGCTCTCTTTACCCCAACCCTATGTGGGAAGCTGCCAGCCAAGTGGGGCAGCCCCAGGCTCCCACCCATGGCTATTCCCTCCCAGCAAGGATCCAGCACTTCTCCCTTTCTCCAAACTGCTTCCTTCAGTCCCCATCATTGGAGCAGGCTTGGATCCGGGCAGCTCCAAGCCCTGATCCTCTAGGAGACAAGCAGCCTCCATGGGTAGGAGGGTTCTGGGGTGTTTCTCTCCCATCTCGACTGTGCTGCTCCTCCCAAATGCACCTTTCCCCTTTCCTGGCCACCTTCCCAAGCAGGTTGGCTGCCCTGAGCAAAGCAAGTCTGGGCTCATCATGAATCACTTTAGGTGCAGAAATCAAGATGAACTGTTGCAGAAGGCATGATGGGAGAGCTTTGTAGTGCAGAAACGGGGTCAGTGACTGAAGTACAGGTCTCAGTCGAATTAAGAGGACTCAAAGGAGCTGGAAACTTCCTTTGACGGGGTAAGTTCACTCTGCTTCTGCTTCCCCACTTTCACTTACTAATGTAAGCTCAGTAGATCCCAGCCTGGTTTGGGTTGGAAGGGACCTTAAAGCTCCTCCAGCCCCAACCCCTGCCACGGGCAGGGACCCCTTCCACTGGAGCAGCTTGCTCCAAGCCCCTGTGTCCAACCTGGCCTTGAGCACTGCCAGGGATGGGGCAGCCACAGCTTCTCTGGGCACCCTGTGCCAGCGCCTCAGCACCCTCACAGGGAAGAGCTTCTGCCTAAGAGCTCATCTCAGTCTCCCCTCTGGCAGGTTAAAGCCATTCCCCTTGGCCTGTCCCTACCCCCCCTGCTGCCCCCCCCCCCCCCCCCCCCAAATTGTAGTGGTTGAGGTTAATTGTTTGCTGTGGGCTTTTGTTTGAGCAAACTTAAGGGCCTCTTCCAGAGCCCTGTGCAAGGGGTACCCCTGTCTGGGGCTGCTCTGTGCTGGCCTCCAGAGCTGCCTTGGCACAAGCATGGGGAAAGGCTGCGGGGAGGTGCTCCTGACCTTCAACATAACCCAGACACTGTTCCCGGGAGGAAAAAAGCTGGTTTGTGTTAACGTCACTGGTGCCATTGTGCAGGAAGCCCTGGCCCCTCATGGGAGTGAAGCCCCCCCGTTAATAACTCCGTGGCTCCATAGGCTGGAGCGAGGCCAGAGGGTGAGAGGAAAGGGGCTCCTGCACCAGAAAAGCTTCTTCTTTAAGGTCTTGACTGCTGTTAAAGTCATAAATAGAGCCGTGGGGCTTAACAGGAAACCTTAACTGTTTGGATCCCCTCCTCTGCAGCATCTGTTTGGCTTGTCCCTCGCAGGGCTGGCCGTTACTGGAGACTCCCTGGCAGGGAGTTGATACTGGGCCCTTACTGGTATTTACGATGCTGCTTGTGTGCTCAGCACCCAGCCAGGAGTCCCCTGAGGACAGTGTACCTTTGTACCCCAGGAGCAGTGGGATTGCTGCCCTGCCCCTCTCTCCGGGGTGCAAAGAGAAAACTAAGGTGTTTGGAATGATGCCCCATCAGCTGCTTGCCCTCTGCTTCCCCAGGAAGCAGCGCTCACTTTATGGGTCCAGCCCATTGCTCACAGCACTGTGATGCTGGCAGGTACAGAGGGAATGAGAGCAGAGTGTTGCCATCCTATCCCAAAACTTATCCCATTGCTATCTCCTCCATGCACAGCCCTTGTTACAGCAAAGGAGAAAAGGTTTTCTCTTTGCTTTCAGGTTCAGTGCCAGGGTCCCCATCAGCCTCACTGTGTTGGAGGGGCCAGGGCTCCAGCCCTTCCCACAGCAGGACCATGGTGCTGCCCGTTAGGGAATGCCCTGGCACCACGGAGCACCCGGAGGCACCGTGTCTGGTGTGGCTGCAGGGTGGGGGCCCTGCGGTGCCATGTTCCCATCCCGATACCAGCACTGCCTTATCTCCGCTCTGCAGTCCTTGCAGTTTCTTCCAGGAAACACTTCAGTGATGAAATGAAACTTCCTTGGTAAATCACCTGTTGTTTACCCTGATGTGCATCGTAAGGAACACAAGGTTGGGAACGTGAAGGTGGTGTTTCGGAGCTGTCTGCCTGGTGTTGTGCACACAGAGGCACACTGGCTTCGCTCTGCTGCCCATGAGCCGAGGGCTTGTGGCTGGACGGTGCTGTGCTGCCTGACTCTGTGGCCACCAGCAGCCCCTGTATTGCTCAGGGAAGCCCTGAGGGCTCAGTCATAACTGGATCCTAGAGCTCATCACAGCATCTTCCTGCTGCAGGAAACTCCAGCTGCATCACCCAATGCACACGTGTACTCGGTTGCCCTTCAGGAGCGAGCCGTCTGCTCCGGCTCACCCTTGTAGGGATGTTTCTTCCATCCTCCTATCTCTTCCATAGATGCTGTTCTCTCTCTGTTGACTGCTGCAGAGCAGCGTTTGCACTGCCCGACAAGGGCCGGCACCGGACGCTGCCCTGACCCATCCCTGTGGCTCTTGCAGAGTTCGCCGTGTCGCTGGCGGAGAAGATGCAGGCTCAGGAGCTGCTGCGGAGCCTGCGGCTGCCCGAGTTCGATGACCTGAGCCAGCTCTTCCGCAGCCTGCCCGCCTCGGCGCTCGTGGGCATCGGCGCCTTCGCCGCCGTCGTCGCCTACTGGTTCGCCAGCCGGCCCCGCGCCGTGAAGCCGCCCTGCGACCTGCGGATGCAATCGGAGGAGGTGGAGGTGAGGCCAGGGGCATCCCGACATCACTGAACCCCAGCCTGGTTTGGGTTGAAGGGACCTTAAAGCTCCTCCAGCCCCAGCCCCTGCCACGGGCAGGGACCCCTTCCACTAGAGCAGCTTTCTCCAAGCCCCTGTGTCCAACCTGGCCTTGAGCACTGCCAGGGATGGGGCAGCCACAGCTTCTCCGTTCAACCCATTCCAGGGTCTTACCACCCTCACGATGAAGAACTTCTGCCTTACATCCAACCTAAATCTCCCCTGTTTAAGTTTGAACCCGGACAATGCTGACATCGGACGTGCAGCGCGCTATGCCAGGGATCTCTCCTCTCCTTAATTCACCTTTATCTGTAACCTGGAAAACTAGAACACAGCCCATTGATTTATTCTCTTGGATTCCCAGCAACAGTTTGGTCTTAGCTTTGCCATGACCCAACGTTACAGGAGCTGCTACTGCACGGGAGAAACCACTGAAAGGCAGCCACTGATGGGATCAAATCGGCTGGCGCTTGTTTGCTGAGTCTGCTGATGCAAACTGTGTAATAATAGCAAACAGGAGACCCGAATCCATGCTCAGAGCCTGAGGACTTGTTAATTTTCATGCCTGCAAAGGGTTTTAAAGATTAATGGAGCTGCTCTGGTTTAAAGAGGAGAAATAAATCTGAAAATTGGCTCCATTTAAATGAATATCTGAAAGTGCGATGGGAATTTTTAAAGCTTTTTATGATGTCCCCTCTAAAATGTCACTGTAATTCCATCATCTTAAAATGATTGGAAGTATTTACACTTCCCCAGAGAGTTTTCCCCTGTGTTTAGGGCTTTAGTGAGGCTTTTTCTGGCTCACTTCACAGTCCTGCTTTGGTCACTCTGACCCTGCCCACTCTAAAACACCTCTATTGAACCCATGCACTTGGGTCTGCAGTCCTGTTCTTCCTGTTGGACCAGATGTCCTTGAGAAGGTGCTGTTGTACCAGCCCTGGGGATCTGTGGATCCCAGAGCAGTTTCTCCCCAGCACATCCCCACCCTGTTACTTATGGATTCACAATTCCTCCTTGGGAAATATCAACCATCACCTGTCCAGGTCGAAGGTCTCCACTGTTCTCCATGTTACTGGGGTGCCAAGGTGGATGTACCACCTCTCCCATCCCTTTGGGTGCTGGGGATGGAATATGGCATCCGTGGAGCATGCTGCTTTCTGGTTCGGGGTTTCCCCATCTCCTGCCCATCGGGTGGTGCTGCCTCACATCCTGTCACATCATGTCACGCAGGGCCTGGATGGAGCACGCCGGTCGGTGATCGGGGACAGCCCGCAGCTCCTGACGCACTACTACGATGATGCCAGGACCATGTACGAGGTCTTCAGGAGGGGCTTCAGCATCTCTGGTGAGAGCACAGTAGGAGCAGAGGAGGGGAGAGGCGGAGAATAACGCAGAGTCCCAAATGGTGAGGGAGGCTCAAAGGCTTAGGGAAGCTTAGAGAGTGTAGAGGCTGAGAGTGCAGGAGCCCATAAAAGTGTGTGTGTAGGTGCCCATTTGGACTTCAAAGGTTAACGGAGCATGGGAGACCCAAAAAAGGAGCGGGAGGCCATCAGAATGTGGGAAGCCACAAAACTGTAGAAATCAGTTGCAGAGGCTGAAAGAATGGAGGAGGCACAAATAGTGTGGAGAGGCTGAAAAAGTGCTGGAGTCCCCAGGGGTACAGGAGGGCACAAAGAATAGAGAAACAAGAGTGGGAAACTGAAGGAGATATGATTGCTAAGGAGAAAGGGAGACTAAAAGAGAACAGCAGGACAGTAAAGTACAGAAGCCTATAGAGTGTAGAGTCTAAGAGAGTTTGGGAGGCCCAGAAACTATAGAGGACCATTACATGTGGGATGAGGGTTATTATTTGCAACATGCATTATTTTGCCCTTAATGCCATTGAATTTTACTGTGCAGCCTCCTGGTACTGCAAGATCCCTTTGCTGCCACTGGCAGATACCTTAATGTCCTGAATTCTGCAGCGTCAGGAAAGCTCATCGTACATTATTCAGTTCTGGAGTGTTTCTGAATTCATTACACAGGGCTGATGCGGGTGTACAACTGTGGAACCCAACAGAGCTCTTCCTCCGCTGCAGACACTGATAGCTATTTCTCCTTGTTGCTGCCTTTGCATCAGTTACTCACACAGCTTATAGCCCTGTATCCCACAACAGGGCAGGGCAAGGGCTCTACCAGAAGCCCTTAGGGAAGCCGAGCATGGTATCAGTCCATCACCCTTACCCCACGATCGATGTTGTCATCAAAGAGCTCTTACACACTTGTGAGACCTCATTTCCCACTCTAAAAAGCCACGATGACTCTTCCCTCCTCTGCCATAACTATTTCTGTGTCTGCTGCTTATGATGTCCTGCCTTGTTGAACACAACAGTTTCACTGTCACATTACTTCTGGTGCCATCAAAAGCCTCAGTGGAATTGCAAATATTCCACCCTGCAGCACAGGGGTAGATAAATAACTCAGGAGGAGTTTGGAGGGATGGATCTCGTGCAGGTAAGCACTGTTAGCAAATAAATTGAGCATTTCCAATACCGCTCCTGTCACATAGTGCTGTGCATCGTTTCCCCCTCCTCCAGAGCAGGCTGGGCTAAAAACAGCAGTTTTCACTTTGAAGTGTTTAAATCAAAAGGCAGTGAAAGCAGTGGGAGCTGCTGTTTGGGATGGCAGCCCTTGGCAGACATGAATGCTTGCACTGCCTTCGGAGAAGGGTCTTTTAATGAGGCTGATGGGGGCAAACTGCCGCTGTCCCTGCTGCAGCCCAGGGAGGAGGATTGAAGGGGCTGGGGGATCCCAGCAGCTGGTCTCCATTAGCTGCACTCCTGTGAGCTCTGTCCCAGGAGTGAGAGTCAACCCTGGCAGCAACCGATTCACTCTCTGGGAGCTCTGCTGCATCCCTGCAGCGTGGTGCTGGGCAGCACCTTAACTGCATCATCTCTGCTTGTGTCTTCCAGAAAACGGCCCCTGCCTGGGTTTCAGGAAGCCAAATCAGCCCTACCAGTGGCTGTCCTACAAGGAGGTGAGCTGGGAATCATGGAATGGCTTGGGCAGAAGGGCTTTAAAACTCATCCAGGGTCTCAGCACCCTCACAGGGAAGAGCTTCTGCCTAAGAGCTCATCTCAGCCTCCCCTCGGGCAGGTTAAAGCCATTCCCCTTGGCCTGTCCCTACAGGCCCTTGTCAAAGCCCCTCTCCAGGTTTTATTTGCATGCACTGACTGGGAGGTTGCTGATGTGCTGATGTGTGAGGGCTGTTTCCCCAGCCAGGCACATCCCAGGTGTTATACAGGTGTGCTGGCTCTCAGGGACCACCTCAATGCCATTAGCACACACTTGACAGTGGCACTGACACACCCCAAATCCATGGGGCATTGCCAGCCAGAGGTCAGCTGCTAGTCAGCTACTGATGGCTCACCATAATGTAGAACACTGGGCTTTTAGATAGCAAACATGAGAATCTGAGAGCCTCCCTGCGCAAGCTCAGAGTCCACTTAGTCTGGTATTGCTGACGTTCATCTTTTATGTATTCTTTTTCTCTTCACATTCCAGGTGGCTGAAAGAGCAGAAGCCCTGGGTTCAGGCCTAATTCAGCAGGGCTGCAAGCCATCCACGAAGCAGTTCATTGGGGTCTTTGCTCAGAACCGCCCAGAGGTGAGGTTATAAACTCAATTGATGCTGTATTAATAATGTTCCTGGCTTGTGAGCTTGCTTTAAACTTGAGGATTGTTCTCAAGTGGGTTAAATCTGTTCCCATAGCCCCTTTCTCACCTTCATGCTCTGATGTCCTCCTGCAGTGGATCATTTCCGAGCTGGCTTGCTACACCTACTCCATGGTGGTGGTTCCCCTCTACGACACCTTGGGTCCCGGAGCCATTCGTTACATCGTCAACACAGGTAAAGACAGAATTGATGTCCTCTCAGAAATCCCTCTGTGGCTCGGAATCGTTCACTTTCCTTTGCTTTCCACAAGCCAGGCCAGTTTGCTCATTGTCTTGGAGTCACCTAAGAGGTTCCTGGGGAGCTCTGCGTCCCCATGATGGGTCTGCACTTCCCATGTGCCCAGTCATGCACAGTGGTGGATGGGACTGCTCTGGTGGCTGTGGGAATTACTCCATGGCCACCCACTCCTGTGCTGCTTCCTATTGTGCCTCATAGATTTTTTAGCCCACATGGTGATCAATTTTAGCACGTTGAACTGAATCCCAGCACAACCGTAGATGTCAGCTGCAGCTCTGGCACTGATTTAGATGAGACTAAATCGCAGTGATTTCCTAGGAGAAATGTTTGTTATGCTCTGGGTTTCCTGAGGTGAGTTTCAGCACTGATGCAATGCTACGAGCCAGCAGCCAGTCTGGCCTTAGGAAACAGATGTGAACAGCTTGTTCGGGGACTTTTCTTCCAGCTGACATCTCCACGGTCATTTGTGACAAGCCCGAAAAGGCCAGAACACTCCTGGACCACGTGGAGAGGAGAGAAACGCCGGGTCTGAGCTCCATCATCCTGATGGACCCCTTTGAAAAGGAGCTGACGGAGAGAGGGAGGCGTTGTGGAGTTCGCATCCAGACCATGCAGGAGGTGGAGGTCAGTGTGTGCTTCTTTCCTTTTACTCTGTTTTGTAGCTTCTGTAAGAAGCCAGTAAAACAAACAGGGACTTGTGAGCTGTGTGGCAGGTTCAGTGTCTGGAGAGCACAAAAGAGCAGCCTGTGGCTGATGATATTGATGCTCAGTGTGGCTGCCCCTTGGTGTGTAATTCCTTGTTGATTGGGGAGCCAACATTTCAAGCCTTCCTGCTCACAGAAGATATCACACACATGCTATTTAACCCTGGGAAGGGAGGCTGCTGTTTGAGACACTGCCCTCCTACATGTAGTTACAGCCTTACACTGATGCAACAGTCTGGATCCAGCTCAAGCAATCCAAGCTCTACTTAAACCAAGGATGGATTGCAGTTAATGCAAGAAGCTTTGGATAGAGAAGATGACTTAAGTTACCAGGCACAGATGTTTCTGCTGCAGCTCCCCCTGTCCCTCAGTGGGTTATTAGCAAGTGGGTTACACCACGGCAGTCAAAGTGGAAATCATCTTTGTTGCTTTAATCTCTTTCAGGACTGTGGCCGCGAGAGTCGCCATGTGCCTGTGGTGAGTGTTGATGTGCTGCTTCTCCCACTCACAGCTGCAGCTGGCTCCTATGTTTACTTCAGTGCCCAAGAGGGAAAGGCTTGCTCAGGACTGTCAGTACCATCCACTGGGATCATAGAACCACAGAACGGTTTGGGTTGGAAGGGACCTGCAAAGCTCATCCAGTTCCAACCCCCTGCAATGAGCAGGGACACCTTCAACTAGATCAGGTTGCTCCACATCCAGCCTGGCCTTGGATGTCTCCAGGGATGGAGCATCCACCAGCTCTCTGGGATGTGCAGCATTCGCTTCCTACCCTCAGTTATAGGGTAGGAAGAGCTGAGATAGTTCATCCTTGCTGAACATCTCAATGACACAGTAATTAAATGCCATTGTTGAGCCAAACTCAAGAGATACTCCTGGAAACAGCTTCAGAAAGTTGTGTCCTGCTGAGTATCCCCAGCATTTATCAGGAAATGAATAAATTATCTCAGGTTTTCCCACACACCTACAGGTAGAGATGCTGTCTTTGAAAATCCTAGCAAGACAAAGACTCCATCACAGTCCTCTTACATTAAAGCATGCCCTTTGTGCACCTGGAACAAAACATAAGGGAGGAATAGAGTCTGCATCAGCTGAAGAATCCTGATAAAGACTATAATGATGGTCTTTAATATATGCCAAGGGGAAGGAGCGCTTTTTATGGCAGTGTTGAAACAGAACTGGTTTGATCTTAAAGTTTATACAATGACAAGAGTCTGCCATTGACCTATCTGCTTTTGATTGATGTGATCTCCTTATTCTCCTTGTGCATTTCCAGCCTCCTCGACCAGAAGACCTCTCAATTGTCTGTTTTACTAGTGGCACCACAGGTAAAAAAAGAGACATTTTAATCTCAAAATCTTAGACTAGATTTTTAAATGAATTATTAATACCACCTTAATATGTGCCAACTTGATGTTATACTGATATAGCAATGATATTTCCATGCATTTTTAATGTTTAAGGATATATGTGTATATACCTGTCTGTAGGCTGCAAATTACAAATACTGGTATATTTATTTTTCACTTGCATTCCATGATGTACACTTCTGTAGAATCATTTTCCAGTTGTCTGGAAATCTGTGCCCTGTTTCATCCTCTGTATCCTAAGCACACCAGTGTCCCCAGCCCCAGCTTGCTCGTGTGCTGGCCATGGGGTACCACGCTGCTGGTACTCATGAGCCACTGGCCCCTTTTTCTCAGTGAGGAGCAGCATCGTTTCCCTGCCTGTTCTTAGCAGACACAGCTTTCCCCTCTCTCCAGACCCTGATTTTCATACAGTTTGCAGGAATTTCCTGCTCTTGAGAACTTACCTGCAGAAAGAGACCAAGCTCTTCCAGGTTCACCTCTGCTCCTGGTGTTGCCCAACGCTTGGCCCTAGCCCAAAGCATCCTTGATTTGGCCTCCACTGACCAAGGCAAGCAGAAGATGCTGCTTGACACCAAGCTGCCCTCCAGGAAGGGGAGCTGCTTGTGCTGCTCAGCCTGCAGAGAGCAAAGGCTGAAGATGAGGCTGGACAAGAGGAGACATCTTCATCTTCCACCTCCTGGAGAAGACCTGTACTGCAGGTCAGGTAGGCAACTGCTTTATCAACTCCAAATGCAAACTCAAAATGTGTTAAAAGGCTTTAGGGATTTTACCTTTGCTCTTAGTTTTGAGGTCCAGGCACTTCGGGGTACCCCAGGGCAGTGCACGGTGTGAAAGGAGCCTGAACTCTGCTCTGTCTTAGCACTGGGAATCCCTAAGAGGAAAAGATTGATCCCAGTGCAGGGTATGGACATCACAGCCCGTGGGCTGGGAGCACCGGCTCTGCCAGTGCAAAGTGGCAGGGCACAACCTGGAATGGCAGGAATCCAGAGGAGCTGTGCCTGCAGGCACAGTGGGGCACCATGTGTTTGTGTGGCTTTTAAAGGGCAGAGCAGTGATTTCTTTTCAGGTCATGTTTTTGTCAATATTTTTAGTTCTAAATCAGACATTCTGACCAGAGAAGGGGTTTGGTTTTTCTGTTCCCAAACGCAATCTCCTGGGCTGGCTCCCGACTTTGTGCTGTTCTTAGGAACATGCCTGAAGTTACAGAAATAGGACAACCAGGGAGCATTTTGTTTTCTCCCATCCGAATCCGAGATTCCTTATCCTGCACATCATTTCCTAACAAAAACTCACAGAGCAATGCTTTGTGAGCCATCAGCCCAGCCTCTGCTGCTGGAGGACTTTGCACATCACTTCATGCCTTTTCCAGGGGTTGTATCAGCGCTCTGATCTGTCTTCCATGTTGTGTTTTGATCTAAAAGGTTTGGCTCTTTATATAGCACATGCCAAGCTATTTTTAATGACCAGATTTAGACTTTTCTTCCAATGGATGTGTTCTCAAGGGCTTTTTCAGTCCTCAAAGGCTCTAAATCCTTTTGTATGATGTGAAACAAACCTCAGCTGGAGAGTTTGTAACCTGGAAATTGTAGAATGGGAAATAATTTCAGCTGTTTATAAGGAACCCCAGAAGTGGTCTTTTATTGTCTGCTTTTCTTTGATAGGATCAGATGCCCAAAGGCCTGCCCTGGGAGAGGCTGACACTGCTGAGCTCAGATGACAAGATGTCAAGACCAGCTTTCATTGTGGTACCCAGGAATCATCAGCACTCAGAAGTGGGCCAGAGGCACAGAGATGCCCCCAAACCATCAGAGAAGCAAGCTGTCATTTCCTCAAGGATCCACCTCGAACCCATTGGATAAAAACTGCTTCCCAGCGTTTCCTCACAGCCTGTCAGTGCATATCCCTGTGTGCTGGAGGAGAGGAGCGCCTGCATCCCAAAGTGCTGACGGATCACACCACTGAGTCAGTGCCGGAGCTGCTGCTCGGAAGACCCATTTAGCAACATGGAAAAGGTTCTTCTCTTGCTTATGAGAGCTGCCAAACCAGCCTGGCACCAAGACAAGGAGAAACTGCCATACCCGGGCTACTACCTGGCCCTGTTCCGTAACGGGACACTCACAAAGAGTGTCTGGATGAGGGAATTCATGCTTGAGAGCAGTGCTACAGGTCTGGCATTGATTTATTTTAAAGGGAAAGCAGTATCACTGCCAACCTTTTAATCTCAAAGTGGTAGTTCTGGGAAGGGGCTCGTAGCAAGAGGGATCCCTTTTGTTGGTTGCTCTTACAGCTACTAAAGAAAGTTGGAATTTGCAGGAATCCCCCATCCCAAAGAGCTGCAGCTCCCATGGGAGCATGGTTTGTTCTGGAACACCTCTGTCTTTGATGCAGATTCAGTGCCTCTGCTCAAAGCACCATGGCACACCTGCAGCAGTGTGAGCATCATGGGTCCTTCCTCTGTGTCCTGTTTGCAGGATCCTGGACAGGCTGTGGTCTCAATGGTGCCAAAGCAGATCAGTGGTGTTAGAGGTGGGATGATACAGGAGTCTGAGTTAAAAGCACCTGGGAAGCTGTGACTGCCCCATCCCTGGCAGTGTTCAAGGCCAGGTTGGACACAGGGGCTTGGAGCAAGCTGCTCTAGTGGAAGGGGTCCCTGCCCGTGGCAGGGGTTGGAACTGGATGAGCTTTAAGGTCCCTTCAACCCAAACCAGTCTGGGTTTCTATGAAATCTTCCAGGAGAAGGCTGCAGAGCTGTGCCAAGGTGCAGGAGCCAGATCTGCCATTGGTATAGGTGGTAGGCACAGTTTTGAACTTACAAGCCAGTACTGAGCACATCCTCCTCACTGTGTGTGACCTGCTGGTGCCAACATGGAAGAACTTGTGTTATGCTGCGAGAGTCCGGCTATGGATAGAATTGCCAGGGCTGAGCATATGTATTTGGCTAAATACAACTAACAAGTGGTTTCTGGATCAAGCAACATTGGTTCATGGAGCTTTCCTGACATCTGGATCCATGTGTGCTGTGAAAATAAGGGCCTGTAAATGAAACCTGCCTGTATGAGCTGGTGCTACAAGCCTGAGGTACAACACGTTGGGGCAGGAGCCTAACCTAACATCATGTCAGCCCCAGCTTCACCTCCAAGCTTCGGATGAGGATGAATATGAGAGCAAAATATCCCCTGTGCACCCTGTTCATCTGCAAGGATTTAGGACCGAGTTGCTCCCAGGCACTTGGGACACCAAGCATGGGGTTTCAGTAAAATACACTGTGTTCAAAACATCCTGATTTAGTGCAATAAATGCCTGCAATGATGACTACTTCTGCTTGGGCCTTTATTTAACTATTGGCACAAAGCTGAGTAGAGGCAGTGACAGGGAACAGGCAGGGCACAGGGATCAGCAGCGAGCTGGGCTGTGCCACGTGGGTGCCAACAGACCCCAAACCAAGAGGATTAAGAATATCTTCCTGTGCTGAAACCAGTTCACAAAACACCGCCGCTCCCTTCCTAATCTGAGGAAACCAGGGCGAAATCTCTGCTGGGTTATCGTTCTGTTGCATCCATCATTAGCTGTAACAGGATTGCAGAGCTCCTGGGGTATCCCAGTGCTGGGGCTACGCAAGGTACCTACGGGCAAAGCTCCTCTGATCAGCTTCCGCATGGCATAGCAGGAGCTACGCTGCAGTGGCGTGATTGAATTAAACCAATCTGCTTAAAAGCACGCTGGGGAGAGAGAGGCTGGCTCCGTAATCTTGATTCGAGCTGACCTGCACCTTCTTTTCAGCAATAAACCCTCTGAGGGTGATGGAAAGGGACAGTGCTGTGGCAGGAGGATGTGCAGAGTCCTCTGAGCCAGCACTATAAGCAGGGAGTTTCGGATGGAACCCTTGGCTCTGGGTGGTGGAGATTTCAGTGTCTGCCGCTTGACAAACCCAGTATTTTGGTGTATGAACAGATATGAAATGCAGAAGAGAGAAAAGAGGGTGAAAAGGCAAATACTGACAGTGTGGAGGTGAATCACTGCAGGCGCAGCGCCCAGCACTGCACTGGGATGTGGCTCCCTTATGGGCTCAGTGCTGTCTCCACCTCTGCTCTGCTGCTGGCAGCATTAATGACTTCCCTTAATCACAGTCTCACAGGGCCTTCTTGTAGCCTGATTTTTACTGTGTATTGCCCGTTTCCTGCAGGGATAACAGGGTTATCCAGTGCATGGGCTAGGTAAGAGCTTGACAGCTTTTTAAATGGGCTTTCTTGGTACTGAAGATCATTCTTAGCCAAAATCTGTGTGAAAGACATCCCATTGGAGAGGCTGGGAGCAGCCAGCGCGGTCTGACAGCCGTGCTCATCGAACTGCTCCATCCGAGCGCTCTCACAAATTGCAGTTGGGCTGTTTGTGATGGAAAGTGTTGTTCAGTCTCCAACAGAAATACTTGTGCTTACGGCATCACTTTATGACACTCTGAGTGCTGCACTAAATGCTGTTGGTGCAGGCCACTGCACGGAGGTGACTGAGGAAGTTACGGTTTCAAATGCAGAATTTAACGGTTTAACCATTTCTGTTGCCTTTTTTTTTGTTGAGCTTTTGGAAGTTTCCCTGCTGCTCATCTGCCAAATCTCTCTCTGTTTCCCACAGGGAACCCCAAAGGTGCCATGCTGACCCACGGGAACGTGGTCGCGGACTTTTCGGGCTTTCTGAAAGTGACGGAGGTGAATACCCTGCTCTAGAAAACACTGCCCCATGCAGGGGGTTGGGGGGTTAAGCTGTGTCCTGCATGGGCTTTGTGGAAAGGAAAAGTGACTTTTCAGATGAGAGGTGAAATTTCTCTTACTCGCAAGGCCAAATCCATAGAAACGGGAGCGAGTCTGATCTTAGAGCACTGCAGGGCATTAAATCCCCTGTCCAGCACTGGCTCCCTGGCTCTGTAGGGCACAAAGTGCTTCTGAGGAGCAATGTTGGCTCGTGCAAACCAATTCATTGACGCCTTTCGAAGAATAAGGAGAGCAAACAAGCACTGTGCCAGTGGTGCTTGGAAAAGTGTAGAGGGTCTGCTTGTGCTCTTTGTGTCCCACTGTGCCCACACAATGTCCTCACTCACTTAAACCTCTCTGCTTATAAAGTACATATGTATATATATAAAAGAATATAGAAGTTTTTTACAAGAATGATTAATTTCATTGGTACCAAAGTATATCTTACTTTCTGTAATACCTGTTAAAAAAGCATAGCACTGGCCAAGTACCTGTATAATGTTCTAGGCAATGCATAAACTCGTGTTTAGAAATGATACAGGAAGCAGAATTGCTTTAGCACAGCATGCTAAGGACCTAACAAATACACTGAATCTATTTTTTGTAGTAAACAGGCAATTCCATAAAGCAGTGATGTACACACGGGTGGACAATAAGTCACCTTCTACCCTTTGCTGGTGTTACTGTTGGTGGTGAAAATGCTGCAGTCTAGTTATCCTAATCCTTGAACTTTCGTAGATTTCCAGACCTGTATTGTAAGGAATGTGATGTGAGGAGTCCCTCTGAACTCATGCGTTCGAGTATTTGCGGGGTTGTGACTCCAGTAATTCCCAGTATGAAATGCCAACAGCTTGCTGCAGCCGGCCCTTGGGCTTCACAGCACGGAGCTGCCATTGGCATCAGAGGCAGTGAGATGCTCAAATGAAAGCTGGTGCATATAGGTCTGAGCTTCAAAGGGCAGGACCATTTATGTTGGAAGAGAACTGGTTTAGAGGGAGCTGGGGCAACTCAGCAGCTTCCAGGACTGGCCCACAGAAATGGATTCAGTGTTTGTTGATGGCACTGAGATACTTTGGCAATGAGATACTCTGATTACTCTTGGAGGTATCAGATGGAGACAGAAGTCTGGTGTAAGTGGCTGCACATCCAGTCCCCAGAGTGGTGCTGGTGGGAGTGCAAATGCCTGTAGCCGACCCACACAAGTAGGGCAATGCTAACCACAGAAATGCAATGGAGCAAAATGGAACAGATTTGGAAGCAGTAAATCACCAAAATCAAGATACATAAAGCTGAGAAGAGCTGCAGATCTGCTGCTCACACACTCCTGTGCCAGTTTTGCTTAGTTCAGGGATTCTGATCAATAGAACAGTTTTTGAAGTGACCCTAGAGCTCTTATAAGGCTGTTCTCAGATGCTAAGAAGCTGTTTTCATTCTGCATTTAACTGGACACCTGTGCCAACTGTGAGGCACTATTCAGTGTCATCGCTTTGGTCTGATTTAAAACAAAACCATTTATGATCTGGGCACATAAAGCAGTGTTAAAAACAAAAGCAGCACAGCGAGTGATGCTAATGGGTTTACATTCCTGTGCTTGCAGAAAACGAGGCCAACCTGAAATAATGTATAATCAGATCTGCAGCTCCTAATGGCTTAATTCAGGCTGACACAGGAAATCATATGAAATGGGATGCTGAAAACACCCATATTGTCAATCACGTTTGACTTCACTAGGTAACGGGTGGGAGAACATCCCACAGTCTGACTTGCCCAGATTTAACTCCAATAAGATATTCCCTAAGGAAGTATCTCCTGTGCCTCCCTTCAGTGCCGTGTCCCAGGCCATGGGTTATCCATTCCATCACAGCAGTGGAGATAAAAGTGGGTATAAACTGCTAATACTGTGGGCTAATAGATTTTATACCCATTTTCCTCTAACCACTGGCCTTGGGGCAAGTTACTGGGTAATCAGGCTTTCAGGTTTTCTTATCTGTAATGTTCTAGCAAGCCTTACCCTTGGAAAGGCAGGCAGTAAAGCAGGTAGGGCATGGGTTGAGTAAGGCTCCCGGGGCCTGTGTTTGTTCCAGCCTGTGAGAGAGTTAAAACCCTGGCAAACTGAAGACTTTGGTAACTATTTCTGGCGTAATTTGTCCAGCTTTCCCCCCTCCCCACACCTGTCTGTGGGGCACTGATAATGCCCTTAAAATTCCACTTTAATCACTTCAAATGACAAGAAACACTAACAGAAGTCATTAATTTTTGCAGCTGAAAAACAGTCATTAATTTTTCCCACCTATTCTGATTCAAACCAATGATTAACCAAAGGAAAAGGAGGAAAACAAAATGATAGCTTTGACGCTAGTAACACTGTGATCTCCGCTGGGCTCCGTGCAATGGGGAATAGGGATGCGCTGCGGAGCATTCCCGGGAGGCTCCTGCAGGTTTGCACCAGGATCCTGCGGGTCTGCGCAGAGCTGAGGGCGCGAATCCTGGTCTCGGCACCTCCTGGTAGAAAGCAATGGATAAAATGGGATTCTCTGTCAGGGTGAGCCTCCGTTTCCAGCGTGAGCTGTGTGGATGCAATGCGCCTTCCGCCACGGAGAGACCTCTCCGCTGCCCTCTGTGTACATCTCCGTGCTCTTTACTCCTGCTAACCGAGCTTCATTGACGCTATGGCTTAACGCTTCACTTTGTGCGCTGCTCCCTTCCTCTCTTGACAGTCTTTACCCTTTTGCTCCTCTGGTGCCATTTTTCTTTTTATTGTTTTATGACTTTCTTGTTGTCTTCCTGTCAGTGTTTCTTTCCTTTCTGTCTCCCATGCCCTTCACCTGCAGAAAGTGATCTTTCCGAGACAGGACGATGTGCTCATCTCCTTCCTGCCTCTGGCTCACATGTTTGAACGAGTTATACAGGTAAGAAACCTGCCTGAACTGACGAGGCCTCGTGGGGCTCCTTGTGTTTTCTTCCAGAGTCAGTGGTCTCCTACTTGTGAGGATGTACACATTTCCTATTTGCCTTTAGCACACATGTTTGAGAGAATGGTACAGGTAAGGTCCTGGTGTCAGTGGAAATCATCCTTTTCCACACCGAAAAAATCCCTATAAAATGAATACAATACTAAATAACCAGCGATGTCCTGTAGCACTAAAAAAGCTTGTACTCCAGAAGTGCCATGTGCATAACACCAGGGCCCCATCTCTGCTCTCAGTGACCTTGCCGTGAGTTCAGAGCAATTCCAGGACAGCTTCCCAAGCTCTTCAGCTTACGCTGGTGTCTTTGAGGTTGGAAACCAGCCCTTTGTCCATGAGCAGAAACTGCTACTTGCACAGTTCTGGGGGCAGCTTTTCAGAGCACTTTGGGATGAGGTATCAGGGGAGCAAGAGGATAATTTTGTGCCATTTTCTACATCAGCTCAAAGCCTTTTATTGCATAAATAACCAGCTCTGCAGAAAACTTGCAGACACTGAGAAAGAGGAAACCAAGATGGTGATGTGCCACTCGTGATCCTCCTGGCAGGGCAGCGTTCGGTGGGCATGAGCTGGTCCGTGTCCCCTGGAAACAATGGCAAACAGCAGTGCTGACTCAGGCCAGCCTGAGAACTGACTTCTCTCATCTCCTCCCGAAAAGCCAAGTGAAGATCTGTGCTGCAGTCGGGCTGTCAGGCACACCCGCTGAGATGATCACATCGGTTCTCCTGGCCTGAGAACCTGCAAACTAAAACCTGGTCCAGTGCGTGCAGGTTGGACCCGGATTCAGTTGCAGCTCTGTGCTTTCTCAGGGGTGATTGCTTTTGAGCCAGACAAGCATCCGAGTATAAACTCTGCTTCTTAGTTAACACCGGTGCCAGAAGTAATATGTTCTGCCCTGTTAAAATACTTGCAAATTGGAAGTGAAAGTCCACTGAAGGTTTGGTGAATCACAGCACAGCCTTTCTTCCCTGGCAAGGCAAGCTGGTCAGTGTGCCACCCCTATAATATAACTCTTTAGTCATCTGATGAGGGAGAAAAAACCATGAGAACTGTTTGAGATCCCCTTGTTTTACAGGATGTTGCTGTATTGAAACAGGCTCCAGAGGATGCTCAGCTTTATCCTCCCTGCTAAAAAAGCTCATTGGTATGAAGGTTTTTCCCCAAAGGGATAAAGAATCATTTTCAAAAGCATTTGGAACAGCAGCACTGCGTCAGCTTCCCCAGTTTTACCCACACCATCAGTTCCTGGAACTTAAGTGAAAACTATACACATACATTCTTTAAAGCTAAAATTTCTCTTTATAATCCCCACTGATTATATTTTCCTTGTTTTTCAATTCCCGTGCATGTGCAGCATGGAACGCAGATTCAGCAGTGTACTGGTCATTAACCACATCACATGTGGTTTCAGCTGGACACACTCTCTGTTGGCAGAGCAGTGAGAGCACTGCAGTTAGTGTTAGGGATAATTAGGAGTACCACAAAAAGACTTAGGTGTGTCTTAAAGGAGTCTCAAACTGGTTTAGTTATATGGGGGAGACAAGTGCACTAAAGGGAGCTGATGTTCTCAGTCCTCTATGGGGTTACGGATGATCAGGGCTCCTCACACTCTACCCTGCATATCCAGCTCTATTCTGATCCAGTGAAAGTGGCCCATCTGCTTTCCGAGCACAAAACCTTCTGGATCTGTAGTTTCCATACAAGTTGAGCACCTTTTATGAAGGGGGCTTCTGTTTCTGGGATATGGGATCAGGCACTGTACCTCTAACGTAGTACATTGTTGTATTTAAACAGAGCTAAAGTATTAACACCTAAAACCCGGGCGCTGCTCAGTGTTTTACAGTGTTTCTTAATATCCCTTTCTTTATTGACAGTAGGTGTTCATGCTGTGAGCTGCTGTGGTAGGCCTGGCCTTAAAGGAGAAGTTCAGGTCCAGAATCTGACCATAACTCAGACTTCTCCATCCCTGTATCCAGGGGATGAAGGGAATTCCCTTCCAAAACAGCTTTGGTTCCCTGTTCTTCCAGAACCAGTGGCAAATTTGGTGGATGCTGAATTGCCAGTACTGAAATGCCCAGAACTATCTGGATCTTTCTGTTCAGTGCAAATTTTACTGTTACTTTTTTATGTAGTTCTGAAGCCCCATTTTTTGCCATATTGGAAAGCAGGATTTTAGGAAAGGCATTTCTGTGCTTGGGGGGGCTGCTTTGCCATGGGAATTAAAGGCAGGGATATGACACGTGTTCCTTTTCCTCCCATCAGTCTGTAGTGTACTGCCACGGAGGGCGCATCGGGTTCTTCCAAGGCGATATCCGCCTCTTATCTGATGACATGAAAGCGTTGCGCCCAACCATCTTCCCTGTTGTGCCGCGGCTGCTGAACAGAATGTATGATAAGGTGAGTGGAACTTGGCTCTTTCTGTGTCAATAAAGTTTATGTCCCTCTAGGACTTATGTGAAAGAATCCCCTCAGTCACAGAGATCTCCTGAGCAGACGATGCTCTTTCTGCCTTACTGCTAACACACTCTTACCCTGTGTAAGTGACAGGGCTGCTTCAATGTGTAAGGTGATTTATGCAGACTGCTGACACGGATTAAATCCCTCCGTATCAGCCTCATTCCCTGTTCTCACTGAGGTTACCAGTGACATTTCCAGAGATGAGGGATGTTTTCATCCCAGAAACACTGGTCAAACCTGGCTGCGTGAGGATTCTTTGTGCCCTTCAACCAGTTTTGGAAGCTGGGCCTCTATTCCTGGTGGCAATGACAGCTGAAAATCAGGAGCTGCAAACAGACTATGAGGATTTAGGTGGTGTCAATGTGGGGTGGATTTTGGATCTAGAAATCTTTATATCTAAGAGATAGTCTTGGAAGGTGTTAAGGACACATCTGGTCATGTTAAATCTGTTTGACCAGCTGGGAATATTTACTCCTCTGCAGACCTACCCTCTAAAGATGAGCTCAAGCACAAGCTACTGGTGTAATTTTCCCCCAGGGTCAGGACTGCTGGATCAGGGGTTCTGGTTCCTCAGTAGAGGGATGAGCATTGCGGGTTTCTTGTTTGTGGAGATGTAGTACGTGCTGGTGTGTGATGAAGCTCAGGTCAATGCAGCCCCCATCACCTCCTCAGCCAGCAACGAGACCTGCTCCAGTAGTCAAGTTACTCATTCCCAGCTGCTCAAATTGTATGATTTCATTGAATCCTATCATGGAAATCATATAGAAGTAGCAGTCATGTAAATGCAGCCAACTACCATCCCCTCTGTTTTATCTCCCAGGGAAACACCAGGTACAATAGCACACGGAATGAGACAAACCACTCCTCTATATCCCCACTAACAAAGCCCCACGTAGCCTCATTTAACAGTACCACTAACATCACTGCACCCTACCTGCCAGCAGCAGAGCCGGGTGCTGTGATGGTAAGAGCAGCTACTGATGCTCTCTCTGTGTGCTGCAGATCTTCAGCCAGGCAGACACATCCCTCAAGCGCTGGGTTCTGGAGTTTGCTGCAAGAAGGAAAAAGGCTGAAGTTCGAAAGGGGATCATCAGAAATGACAGCTTGTGGGATAAACTGTTCTTCAACAAAATACAGGTAAGGCATTTAAGAAGTGAGGCTAAGGTCAAAGAGCTCTCATTTCTTCTAGCAGTGATTGGTGTTCATTAAAGTCAACGTGGTCCACTAGCCTTATGATGAACTGCAGGCAGTTGTACCACTAGTGAATAGCAGACTGAAAACTGAATGGAGACAGGAGATGGAGCACAGTTTATTGTTCCACTGACTTTGGCATTAACTTTTGCCACGTTTGGTTTTATTTATATATTTCTTTTTAAACAGCATGCATAAGATACCAAAATTTACATCAAATCTGTCTCCTCTCAATGGGAATGAAATTCAGGAAGGTGGGCATGGAAAGAGGAGTATCTGATCAATGAGATGTTGCTTCAAAGTTTTCTGCAAATTCTCTACAGATAAGATTGGATTTAGGGTTGGGTTTCAACTGGGCATATTAATAGAATCACAGAGCCCCAGACTGGTTTGGGTTGGAAGGGACCTCAATGCCCATCCAGCTCCAACCCCTGCCACGGGCAGGGACCCCTTCCACTGGAGCAGCTTGCTCCAAGCCCCTGTGTCCAACCTGGCCTTGAGCACTGCCAGGGATGAGGCAGCCACAGCTTCTCTGGGCACCCTGTGCCAGCGCCTCAGCACCCTCACAGGGAAGAGCTTCTGCCTAAGAGCTCATCTCAGTCTCCCCTCAGGCAGGTTAAAGCCATTCCCCTTGGCCTGTCCCTGCAGACCCTTGTCCAAAGCCCCTCTCCAGATAAAAACTCAAATCTGCTTTTTCCCCTATGAAAACAAGAAAAGAGCGTAAAGAAAAATCCACCTGTAAATCATGGCTTAACACTAAGGAAACAAACACAAATGCCCTGCTGTGTGCTATGCATCTCCTCATTAAAAAGGGACTAAACTGGCTTTAACCCAGGGGTTTGGGCTCTCTGCTGCTCCGGGAGGCTCTGATTGCTTCATTTTTCTAATCGGATAGCTTACCTTGGAGACATGCCACTTTAACTAAAGAAACTGACTGCACTTTTTGCCTGCGGATTAGCTGTCCTCAGCGTGCACAGAGCAGAGTTCACACGGTGCTGCCGGGCGCGCAGACGCGATGCAAGCCGGGCTGCATATTGATTCAAGCTCTGGCGAGACCGGCAGGCTCAGTCCCTTCTCTTCCTTTGTGCTGGGCTTTCTTCTTTTAGAATAAGAAAAAGGAAATGAAGGGGGGAGAAGGAAGTAGAATGTGACAGAGGAGGTGATGTAGCACCCTCCCGAAATGTTTGAAGGTCATCTGCCTGAAGAAAGGGACAGTGTTAGTTTAGATGGCTTGGGAGCCTATTCATTAAAGCTGATGAGGTGCAAAGAGCACTGGAGGGGAAGGGGTTTGGTTTGTACCCCACAGTTCCCCAGAGCAGATGCTGCTCATCCTGCCAGAGATGGGGGACTTTCATCTCCATATGTTGAATGGTTTACTCTTTAGGCACTGTATTTGCCTGCAAGGGGGAGTTATTGCTTTTAAGATTTAGCTGGATTTATCCCTAAGGAAAGGTTCAGAGCTGGTTCGTATTCATAGACTCACAGAATAGTTAGGGTTGGGAAAGACCTTAAGATATTCCCTGCCTCTATTCTAGACAGAGCGCCTGCGCACGCGCTGTACAAGCAGTACTCACAGGTGCTGCTGGCTTTGCCACCTGCAGTAACCTGTGATGCTTTCCTCCCTTTTCTCCCACTATCAAACAGGCAAGCCTTGGTGGGTGCGTTCGAATGATCGTCACGGGCGCTGCTCCTGCATCTCCAACCGTGCTGGGCTTCCTCCGTGCAGCCCTTGGGTGTCAGGTGGGCTCATGATGCTGCTTGGATGTGTTTGCTCGCTGCGAGCTGGGAAACGCACTGCCTTTAAGAGAGAAGATGGGTTAGAACCTCAGAGATGTGTTTAGGGCAGCTTTGTCAGGACTGGGCCAAGAGCAGCGTGTCCCTGGCGCTGGAGCAGGAGCTTTTCCTGTTAGCCCTGGAAGGGAGCAGCAGGGAAGAGCTGCTTGTGCTGCAGGCAGCTGTCAGAAAAGAGCACGGACTCATCCCAGCTGCTCTCAGCACTTAATTGAGTATGTGCAATTAAATATACTGGTGCATGTGCTCAGAACTTCGTTACGTGAGCTTTATTCTATATATAAATGGAGAAAGATAATCTTCAGAGGGCAATTTAACCCACTTAAGCTGTCCTCTGTGTTATTTCTCTTTGACAGGAAGGCCAGGGCAACTACAAGGCCTCATTGAAGAGCCTAAAATTAGGCAAAATTAATGTAAAAGGTGTATTTTCAAAACATCCCACAAAAATCCCCCCCCCCCCCAATAAATTCCTCTCATAAAGTAATACACTCCTTGACTCAAAAGCTAAGAGCTGAACTTGCCTTCTCACTACTTCAACTCTACAGAGACAATTCACAGTCATGTCAGTGAAATATTGGATATGGTAAGAGCCAGGGAAAGTGTCCCATGTAAAACGTGCTCCTGTCATTTCAGCTCCAGGGGTGCACAGCAGAAAGCAATGCTTAGAATCTTACTGTGTATTGGTGAAGCCCTCTGTGCTGTTTTAAAGATACCCCTTTCTTTGCCAGGTTTACGAAGGTTATGGCCAAACAGAGTGCACAGCTGGGTGCACCTTTACAACCCCAGGTGACTGGACATCAGGTAACGATTTCCTTCCATCCTTTCCAGAGAGAAAAGAAAAGATTTCTTTAGGGAATTCAGGACTGTAACATCACAGGGTGCTATTGGCATTCAGCACGGTGTGACTGATCTGCAGCAAATACGGTGCTCTTGGAACTGTCATTAGGCCAGGATGACTGCACAGGGATCAGATGCTGGGCACGTTTGCCTAGGGAGGTTTGGAATTGTCCCTTAGGATGTTCTTTGTGACACCCTTATCTCTGCACTGCTGGTGCTGTGAGTCCTCTAGAGCACTGGAGGGGAATTCAGATGAATGTTTGTTAGAATGAAATGCTGGAACAGTGAAAAGGTGGATGCATTTGTGGACTTAGTGAGCAAAGCCAGGCTTTGAATAGAGACCCACCACTATGCAATACTTCCTGTATTTCAGGCTTTCAAAGCTTCTGAATCTGGACAAAATCACATGAAAATTGGCACTAAGCAGGGTTCAGATAATCCTAGAATCCCAGACTGGTTTGGGTTGGAACTTCTTCCTTATATTTTCTCCTAAAATGGTGAGAGTCCAAAGCTTTGCGTGCTTTTGTAGGGAAGTCAGCTTAAACAAGGGATTAGTCCCTTACAGGTAATGGAGACATGGTTTGTATCTCGATATGTTTGAAAACAGGGTTTATACCCAAAGTTTGGGTATTTAGTCTCAATAACACAAAACCTTAACAAGGAAATTATGGCTGCTTGGAGACACACTTCCTGCTAGAACATCCAGTGTATCTACAACCATGCAAGCAACCGCTATTTACTGTTTCTAGGACTGATGACAAGTGACTTGGTAACTTTGCTTTCCAGGTCATGTAGGAGCTCCTTTGCCCTGTAACTTAATCAAACTGAAGGATGTGGAAGAGCTGAATTATTTTGCTTCCAAAGGAGAAGGAGAGGTAGCAAATCACATTTTTTATATCAAATCCTTGCTAGCTAACACCGTGTTAAGTACTTATGCAGTTACAGAAGCATTTTACCTCTGTAAGGCACATGCTTGCTGATGTGCCTTATTGCAACTGGGGAAGGAAAACATCAGTTCAGCAGCAGAGAAGCAAAGCATTAGTTAAAGAGGGGCTGTGGCAGTACTGCCAGGCAATGCCCTGACTGATTCCTTTCCCAGCTAAGATGGAATTAATTAGTTCAGCTAAGAAAAGCTGAATTGCTCTGATTTCCACATTGCTGTTATTTCTGTATTGCACATAAATTGCGCTTACTGAAATAACGTTGGGGGTGTTTTTCGCTGCAAGCTGGCTGCAAATCAGCTTTGAGCAAATCAGTTTTACAAGCCCCACTTCATAGCTCCTAGGTAATTTTATAGCGCAGTGCATTTAATTCCACGGAGCACAGTCATTAAGCCAACCTTTAACATATTTCAGTTTTAGTGAGCTGCTATTTAGCTTGATGGCAATTTACAGCAAAATAATACAACAATTTCTCTGCAACTCTGTGTTTTGCAGATATGTGTGAAAGGACCAAACGTTTTCAAAGGTTATCTGAAGGATGAAGAGAAGACAACGGAGGCGCTGGACCAGGAGGGCTGGCTTCACACGGGGGACATTGGGAAATGGTTACCTGTGCGTGCCAATCAGAACCTTAGTTCTTATGTCAATTGTAGTATCCTATTTAAATTTCCGAGTACTCAACTTACATTTCCAAGCAGATCTGCCTTTACAGAGGATTAAGTTTATGTTTTACAGAATAAGTCTGATACATCAGCGAAGCACTTTCTGGCCATGTAAAGAGCTCTGTTGAAACCAGCTTACTGAGTCTCTGTGATTAAATAACCTCTCATTCCTTTCTCCTCACAGAACGGGACGCTTAAAATTATTGATCGGAAAAAGCACATATTTAAACTTGCTCAGGGAGAATATATTGCACCGGAGAAGATCGAGAACATCTATATCCGCAGTGACCCTGTTGCCCAGATCTATGTCCACGGAGACAGCCTGCAGGTAAAAACGAAGCTTTCCCAAGGTCTTGCTTTGCTCTGTGTAAGTAGAAGGCAGAGAGCCGGGTGTGAGCGAGGGGAAAGCGTGAGTGGATCACGTCAGGTTTTCACCCTGGTGCCTCCCTCCTGCTGTGGAGCTGGCTGCCAGCCATGCAGTGGCATAAGCAGCTTGGAGGATGCTGTGGCTGAAGATCAAGCCTTTAAGTTTGCTTCAGTGTCACCCTTTGGGTCCCTAATGCTCTCCTTTGCCACCTTGCCTGCGGTAAGCCAAGAGAAGGCAAAGCCACTGCTGCTCCACAGCCACTGCCTGCACATTTTGACCAGTCTTGTCCCATTTCTTTGGCTATTTATGCAAACATGTACAGCTTCTGGAACCATTGTGATTCATCCCTCCATATTCGTTGCCCACAAGCACAAGGCTTCCCTTGGCCCAGGAGTTTGCCTGAGGCTCACAAGCCTATGGATTGAACATGTACAGTCACAGGGAACCACTTTATCTGAGGAAAAGGCACAGACACCCAAATATAACTGATGATGGCGAGTTAGTCAATCATTGACATAATTACACAAGAAATGACAAACACGTAGCAAATTCACCTGGCTTATGTATTCCTGTCAATGTGGGGCCTTAAATATTGTTCAGCTTTTGCCTGCAACTCTCCTTCTCCTCCACCTACAGGCCTTTCTGGTGGGAATTGTGGTGCCTGATTCCGAAGTTATGCCAGGCTGGGCAAAGAAAAGAGGGTTTGATGGATCTTATGCAGAGCTCTGTAGAAATAAGGTTTGTCCTTCTGTCTGTGCACATACAAAACATCACCTTACTTTTCACGCTGAGGAAGCAGTTAACATCATCACACCATGCAAACGTTTGTGCGTTTCTGGAATAGAGTATTTGCTGATTATGTATTAACTATCAGGCACTTGAACTTTACTCAGAAACGTGTTTTCCTGATGAGCAATGACATCAATTGCATGTAAGGTTGCCTCTGTCATTTCATGAGGAATTCCTGTGCTTTAACCCAGGCACTGCAGCAAGCGATAATGGAAGACATGGTACGGCTGGGTAAGGAGAGTGGACTTCATTCCTTCGAGCAGGTAAAACAACGAATACATTACTCAGCATGCTCAGGTGATTTGTCCATTTGTATTGAATGGGGATTTGTCACCCTTGGTTACGTTACTCCATATCCTTGTAGCTGCACACAGTGGTTTTGGAAGCAGAGATCCATTGCTAGCGAGTTCCTTGAAATTTGAATTCAATTTAGTGTTAAGTTTGAGATGCAGAAGTGAAAACCTAATCCAGGGGCATGGTTAATCCCCAGCCTGACAACCAGAGGTCGAGGTAAATCTGTGCAGGACTCTGATTCTTCTGCCGCTGAAAGCAGTGATGAGGAACTGGGTCACTAATTACCCCTCTTATAACTGACCCAGGAAACGCTGCTGGTTTATTTCTTTCCAGCCTGTGCACTAATTCCTTTCTGGGGCTTGTGTAAATATTGTTGCAAAACACTTCAGGAGGAGAGATGAGAAATCAGCCACAGTTTACACAGCATTAAAAACTCAGTGAAAGAATAATCCATTACGTTTTAAAACGTCAAGGTCCTCTTTCTGTTAAAACAATGAACATCTTCATCATTACATAGAATTAGCATGGAATTTTGCTTTTGTTTAGGCTGCTTCTGGGTGGTAATTCTGACGGGTGATTCACCATACCCGAGTGCAGCAGAAGCACCATTAAACATAGACTTGTTATTCTTCATTTCTCAATTACATACACCAATGAAATGAAGTAAAATGAAATGAAGCATGGTTTATAATGCACACAGTTGCTTGTGGTACTAAATCTGGTTTGTGCCTGCTGTGGTCTCGTGGTATGGAATGTCCTCAAGTAATCTATTCTACCAGGAGTTTGCAATTAATAAACTACAAAGTAGGGTAAAAGCCTTGCCATCTTCCAGCTATAACAGAAGTTTCACATTTCAAAATTAGAGGGCTTTAAAATTTGATCTTTGTTGCAATATGTAATCTTAAACCCAAACTTTAAAGCCAGATACTAGGGTTCATGCTTGTGTGGGATGGGATCCCTTCTATATGGAAGAGAGACTCTAGCATTTGTGTCCTTGCCTGCAGTGCCAGTGGCCTGAGCGTGGATCTCTGACCTGACAGTGGCAGCTCTGGGTTCTGGAACCCAGCAGCCAGTGCAGCTTTAGTAGCACCAACACTGGCTTTGTGAAGGACATCACTGGGGCAGGAACAGGACCACAGTGCTTGCAGGGGAAAAGGAATCACGTATCCACTAGGAGTTTAAAAATGGATCCTCACTCTGTGTTCCTGCAACTCCCAGCTGAACAAAATGCAAACCAGTCTGGCTTGGGGAATCGGGAGAGCAGCAGAGGGCTGGGGGATTCTGCCTTACACCAGTGACCATGGCCAGTCACGCAGCCCTTTTCTGGCTCCCTCACTCCTCACTGCCAGGCTCCCTGCTGCGCTCAGGGAGACCCCCATCGACCAGGGCAGCATGGAACAAACCCTGTTTGCCTGGGCTGAATGATTTGATATCATTTTAATTAGCTATTAAAATGCCATCCTTAAAGATGATCATCACCCGTGCGTCCTTTGTGCCTACAAAGCTTCACGGTAACCTTGCAAGGCCAAAGAGAGCTCCCTTCTGTGGGACGCAGGAAAACAAGCCTGAGAGCAGGGAGCAGGATGGGGTGGTGGAGGGATTCAGTGGAACCTCAGGAAACTTGGGCAGGTGGGGGAAATCCTGGGTCCCCTGGGCACAAGCGGAGGTAACACAGTGAGGCTGGCATAAGGAGTTAGGCTTATTCAGTGTGATGCTGTCATTTTTGCTATAAATATCTCTCTTTTATTACAGGTCAAAGCTATTTACATTCACTCTGATATGTTCTCAGTACAAAACGGTTTGTTGACACCGACGTTGAAGGCCAAGAGACCAGAACTGCGAGATTACTTCAAGAAACAAATAGAAGAGCTATATTCAAGTGTGTCCATCTGAAATCCTGGGAAGAACCTTCTGAATAATGGACTCCATAGCAATATTAGAATAATCCTCAAAAGTACAGAGCCAGAAGGGCACAGCTGAAACGGATAAGCATCTGAATCTTACATCTGAGCCTTTCATCATTCTAGGGTTTCACCACTAACCACATCTTTCCTTCTTTTTTTCCATCAGGCGTAATACAGTTTATTTTCTACTCTGTGTACACAATAGGGTACTACTAAGGATGATGTTAAATTGCCACAAAATACACAGAGATTTCAATCTATGACCAAGTAAATTATGGAAACTTACGTTATTAATAACTCCAAACGTTTTTAATTAAAATAAGGAAAATTTCAGGTATGTCTGTTGATATCTGATTGTACATAACCTAATACATTAGAAGCTAAAATTGTGGATAATTCAATAATGTGGTCTACCTCAAACAGTCAGTGATTGATGGTGAAAGTCTGTTTTCCCTGATCTGGAACTTCAAGCTGGATATTAGTTTATATATTAAGTGATAGTTTTTGTATTTTCCAGGACATAAATTGCATTGATTTGATTTAATCATTAATGACCTAACAACCAGAACACAAATAGGAACCAATCTCCTGCTCTTTGTACTTAAAAGAACTATTACTATTTACATCTAATGGATTAATATTACCTTGAAATTACAAGAACAGGTTGGGAAGCAGTAGGATGCAGTTCCCTCTTCCGTTCTTTTCGTCTGAACTCGTTTTATACATGGCATGCTGATTTTCCATTAGGGCCTCCTTCAGTTCAGAACACTCATGGACATCCGAACTACTCCAAGTGATAAGGTTACAAAAGCACCACTGGCTCTGTGGCAGCTTTCTGTGGGAGCTCACATTAACCCCAATCCTCATCCCTAATTTATTTACATGCTGCTAATACTGGGTAGTCCAGTTGGACTAATTCCCTTTCAGAAACAGTGCTAAAGGAATGGAGCATGAGGTACAGGCTGTGATTATTCAGGCTGCCCAGAGAAGCTGTGGCTGCCCCATCCCTGGCAGTGTTCAAGGCCAGGTTGGACACAGGGGCTTGGAGCAAGCTGCTCCAGTGGAAGGGGTCCCTGCCCGTGGCAGGGGTTGGAGCTGGAGGAGCTTTAAGGTCCCTTCAACACAAATCATTCTATGATTCTGAATGGGACTTAGCAGAACAAATTGGTCTGGGAGAAGATGTCCTTCTGTTGACCAGGAATGGAAGAGATGCAGCTCCAGCAGGCCCTGACGATGGGCAAAAGGCTCTGTTGGCTGATGTATGGTGGCACGGTAACGGTACATCACTGGATGTGGCTGTAGAAAGGCCTGTGAAGAAAACATCTCTAAGCTCAGACACCTGGGAGCCTCAGTTCCCACTGTCATCACTTCCAGTGACCTCTATGGAACAAACAGCATGTTTTCAGGATGAAACCTTAAGATTGCACAGCCAGTGGCAGCTGTTAGAAGAGGGTGCAAGTCCCCTGTGGGACAGGAGCAGACTGGAGCCCTCTCCTGAGAGAAAGCACGGTACAAAGCAACAAGAAAACTGCAACGTTAAGTCGCTTGAATGCTTGGACTGTTGGTGGCTTCTTTCTGCTAAACAGGGTCCTAAATGTATCTGTGTATTTGAATAGCTGCTGTTCGTTGCACCAGTGCGTACTAGCATGGAGCTGTGCCTGCTAGAGCTTCTTTGCTAGGACAGTGAAAGCACACTTGTTTTCTCTCTTAAACCGGAATCCACTTTTGAAGCCCCAAATTTTCACTCTAAATGGTCTCTTACTTTCCCTCTACAATTCTATTGCATGCTTCCAAATGAAATACATTGGATTAATGATGTAGTGTTACCCAGCGACTGATTTATTGCAGTAATTTCCTAACAAAATGATCCAAAGGAAGCATATCAGCTAGCATAATCACTCATATAAAGAGCAGAGCGATTTGATTTATCAGATGTGGAAGTATTTATTTGTCTGAATTCCTCTTTGCGCCCAATTCCTCATTGGATTCCAGTGCAGTGATTCATATCAGTTCAAAGCGAGCAAGAAATTCCGTCATGGTGATCTGACGGGATTGTACGTTCGTTCTTCACCAGCGCACGAAGCAAGAGCATCCCTGGGGAATCTGTGTCTGCCACGTCGACACGGGGTAGGAATTACTGTATGGAATGTGGCTCTTTGGGTCAAGTCATAAAGGCTTTTTAGCTCTGCAGAGTCTAGCTCATCTCCTTTTTGTATCAGCCAAAAGAGAGTCATTGCGCTTGCTTCAAAATGACGAAGAACTAGCTTCAGTTCAACTTCCTGTCTGCTTTAATGGGACACACTTTAAAAACTAAATAATTGCAATTAAAAAGTCATCTAAATAAGTACGAAAGAGCTATTTCCCACTGACCTTTTTCTACCAGAGTAATTTGATTTCCTTTTCTCCCAGTTTACCACACTTTTCTAGGCAACTAAACTCTGACTTTTATTTGTATAGAAGATCCCAGTGAGTTTATTGACAGCCTAGATGGCTGATACATTTACATCTATAATGCTGAATGAATATATCTCTACTCCTCTTTTGGTACTTGATGCAAAATGTCAGATGCACTAGAGCCAAAGATATGAACACCTAAAGAATAAGAAAGCAAAAACACAGACTTGGCCACACTGGAATGATGTGAAATTGGGGAGGACTTGTGCTGTCACATCGAAAAGAGTGAATACTTTCAGCACTTGTATAAATCAACTAGAAGCTCTCTTTAATACTTCTTGTGCAATCAGATTTTCCTCTGCAGGTCACTTTTTCTCGCTATAAGCATAATGATGAGATTAAAACTTGAAAACAGGCGTAACACATGAGCTAGGCACAAACATGCTCAAATGCCAGGAATATTTATGTTGCATTGAGCCCTTGTAAACTGAACTACTTCTTGTGACCACCAAGGAGAAACCCCCAGGGCTGTCTGATACAGGTTCTATTGCTCAAGATAACTAATTCCAAAATTAACTTCTTCATTTTACACATAACAGAAAAGAACCTGACTTAAATCTTCTGGAACGAAACAAAAACCACTTAGATTCTTTTAATCTATGGTTTATTTTCCATGTGTTACAAGCACAAACCGGTGATCTCTATGTAAATAAACTGCTACAAGATGAATGTAAACTGGGGAAGAATATACTATTTTTGCATGGTAACAGACTACTTAAAGACCTCTTGATGCCTTACAGAAAAGTGGGAAAAGCATTTTATTTAGAGGCAATTCTATCTGTGTACTTTTTGTATCTTTAGCTCACTTTGGTTTTGTCTGTGGAAAACCAAAGAATAGAGGAATTAGCTCTTTGCTTCTTCTTGGCATTAACATTCTTCAGTACTTTGCACATTCAGTGGTTTCTGCTCTGCTTTTGCTTCTGTTCAACGCCGATGCTGAGGCTGTGCTTTCCGGAGGAGAAATCGGGATGCTTGTAGCCTGGGGAGGGGAAAAAAGGTTTAGATCCCTGGAATTGTTCCAAAATAAAATGTTTTCTGAGGCATCCAGAGCCCCTTTAAGCCCTTCACTTCATTTCAGCTTTTTGGTATGTATTTTAGACAGATATAAGCAGCAAACGAGGTGGTTTCCTAAGTGTTGCTTGCTCTATTTTCAGCTGGAAGTGAAGGGGTTAAAACATACCCTTTCCACTTGTGTAAACCCAATCTCTCCCCAATCTTACCTGTAATCAAGGGTTTTTCAGCTTTGGTATATCGGCATGAATATCAGCAAGCCATCAATGGTGGCTTTTATAAGGAATTCAACTGGCACACTTCTCCAGACCTCTCTGAAGGTTTTCTCATGGACTGAGGTACAATAAAAGCTCTTTTCTAAACCCCGTTATCACTCCAGCACGTTGGCCTCACCATGGGAGTGCAGGATGCGTGCCTACACCTGACGTGTTGGTTGATCAGATTAACACTCGTTATAAAGCAACCAAAGGAATATTGGGACCTGAGATTGATTTTAGCAATCTCAAACAAAACCGAGTTGTTGCGAAGTGCTCTGAAGATGCAGCAGTCTTTCTGTAATGGTTTCCTTTTTTTTTATTTCAGATCAATAATAATGTAACCAAATGTATATGCTTGTTTAATATGAATTGACAATTGGGAATGCATAGTATTTTTTCAGACTATGTGTCTAAAACAATAAAGTTTAAAAGCATTTGGTCTCTACTCCAGTGTTTGTGTGTGCTTGCACCTCACCCTTCAAATAAGGCTAGTGATGCCAAAGAATTATCTCAGAAGCCATGAGATAAATGCTATACACTTATGCTGAAGGATGGGATCTGATAGGTAAGGGGACTATAACATCCATGATTTCTATTGCAGGGTGTAGGATTAGAAAACCCATCTGTTGGCACATCTATTAGTGATAACCAGCGACAGGGAGGGGGCATGCACTGCACCCTGCGTGCATGGAGCTTTCCTGCAGCCCCTTCAGGCACTGGAGCTGCTCTCAGGTCTCCCCTTCAGGAGCCTTCTCTTCTCCAGGCTGCCCCAGCCCAGCTCTCTCAGCCTGGCTCCAGAGCAGAGCTGCTCCAGCCCTTGCAGCATCTCCATGGCCTCCTCTGGCCTCGCTCCAACAGCTCCACGTCCCTCTTGCGCTGCTGCCCCAGCGCTGGATCAGGACTGCAGGGCTGGGAGGGTCCCCTCCCTGAGCTGCTGCTCACGCTCCGCTGCTGCAGCCCCCGCAGCTTCTCATCGACCAACACCCCAGAGTCCTTCTCTTCGGGGCTGCTCCATCCAGTCCTCCCCAGCCCCTTGTTTGCGCTTGGCCCTGGCGAGCTCCATGAGGTTCACTGCACAAAACAACGACGTTCACGTTCCCATCAACACAACAAACACACCACACACACACACCAGCCGCCGTTAACACGCCCAGGCAGGGGCCCCGCTCCCTCCCAAAGGGCCGGACCCACCCCGAGCATCGCCCGCTCCCCTGGGCCGCTCCGCCCGGCGCCGCGAGGAGGTGGCGCCGCCTGCTGCCTGCCGTGGGTACCGCCGCGCCGCGCCTGCGCGCTGGGGGCGTGGGGCGCCGGTTGCCGCTGTTGAGGAGCGTCCGTCCCGGCTGCCGGCGAGACGCGGCCCGCGATGGAGCGGCCCCGCTGCGGGAAGGCACCGCGGAAGAAGCGCCGCTTGTCCCCGCTGCCGGGGCCGGTCTCGCTGCCGGGCGGAGCCGTCGGCCTGGCCGGTGCCTCCCAGCGGTGCCGGCGGCGCCTCTTCGACAGCCGGAGCCCCCGCGGGTCGAGGCCCGGCAGTAAGCGCTTTACCGGCAGCGAGCAGGCTGGGCCGGGGTGAAGGCGGGTGCGGGCACGGCCTCGGCCTCGTGGTGCGGGCGGTTCCGTGGCTCTCTGAGGGGTGGGCAGGGACGGCGGGCACGTTAAGCCTCCCTCCGGGGAAGGTTCACGTCAGTAGCGGTGTTAACGTTGCTTCGGCATCCCGTAGTGTCATCCCAGCTGCTCCTGGGAGAGGTTGGGAAGAGGTTTGGTGGGATCCGTGGCCTTTGCAGCGTGGAGGAAGTGGGAGCTGATGTGGAAACGAGACCGTTTCCTCTGCTTAGCTGTTGGTAACAAAAAGGGTTTTCATAAAGGTCACTTTCAAGGTGTTTGTGCTTTTCTTTCCTTCTAATCAATAGGTTTCTAAGGCACCTGGACTATATCTTGGAGGCTGGTTGTTGGTTTGGGTTTGGTTTGTCTTGCTGATATCCTGGAAAAATGCTTGGGTAAAAGTAAAGCAAATTCAGCCTTTATAGCGCTTGTGATGTAGGGACAAAAGTTGTGATGGGCATGGAAGAGGGGAACAGCTAAAGGTGCCCTATTAGAAATCATCATCCACTAAAAGCACTGAACTCAATTCTTCCTCTTCTCTAGACCCGAAGAGGAAGCCCCGTGTGAAAACCCTCCCCGAAATTACAGAAAACCTTGAAGTCACCCAAGTGAGAGATTCGCGCAACCCAAGGTCTGTTGGAGCTCCTTCAGACACAGCATTATTAACACCAGCTGTGTGTTTACATTGCCTTGCCTGCATGAGAGGCCTGTGGGAGTGTGAATTCGCAGTAAACGGAGGATTTTCAGGCTATTTGTTGCACCTCCTGAAGTGATGTTGTAGTTTTCTGTAGCGTAGCTCTGTGTACTGAGCTTAGCTCTGTTCTTCAACTGCAGCAATCAAGTGAATGTCAAAGAAACAACAGACCCAGATAAAAGAGAAGAGGCAGCTGAAGAAAGCAGTGTACCGCTGAAGGTGAGCATCCTGCCTTGCTCTTTATCTGCTAGTAACTTACGGAGAATAAATCAAAGACGTGACATGCTAAATTCTTTTTCTCATCAAGCAGAGATGAATTACATGTGTGTGTGATGAATGTGTGAACTTGGTCCTGTATCTTGGTGATATTTGCCTGTGTCTTTGGCCAGAATAAAAGTGGTTGGAGCTATTGGTAATGTGAGAAAACACAAAACTAATTATCCTAAATGAGGAAAGGCTGTAGCAATTGTGTTGTGTGGCAGACACCTCATTAGAATGTGGTTCCAGGGAGTTGCTCACTCCTGGTTCAGACACAGACCTTTGGTGAGTTACTGTTGTGCTCTTCCTCATGCTAGTAGAACTGGAACAAAGTGAGGTGACTGAGTGGAGCTGTTACAGGAGAGTCAATACTGCAGTGGCAAGAAAATAGTTCACCAGGGATGTTTGAAATCTGCTACAGCAAAAGGCTCAAATGATACTGCTGTGAAACTACTGTTTTCTTTATAACACTGGCTTTTATTTGGAGCCCGCCAGTTACTTACATTGGGTATTTAATTTTAGGAGTCCCTGACAATCAACAATGAAAGTAAAGACAGTTTGAAAAATGCTGACGTGACTTCAAGTGAGTATAATGGCAATGCATCGTATTGTTAAATAGTTTTATATCTGTATAAACCTAAATGTAACATTCATTATATATTTTTAACTATATGTCTATAAAAGCACTGGTGTGCTGTTCCTGCACTGGTTCTAACTGTGTGATGTTAGAAGGTAAAGGTTTTGAGACCACTGGCTGGACTGCTTTTTCTTGTGGCATGTGGCTTAGAATCATAGAACAGAATCACAGAATGGTTTGGGTTTGAAAGGACCTTAAAGCTCTTCCAACCCCCCTGCCGTGGGCAAAGACATGAATTGATTGTAGGCAACACAAGCAGGATGGGAGGCTCACAAGACTTGAGACTTGAGCCCAACCTGCTGAAAACCACATGATCTTGGTTTAATATTGACAGAACGAATTGTGACCGCGACTTCTTTAGTTTACTCAAAGCTGCATTTTTAAAAGCTTATGCCTAAATAGTTTGTCCTTCTGGAAATAGATCTGCCTAGGAGTTACCTGATGAAGGTAAATTCTTCAGGTATTTCAAGTGAGCTTTGCACAAGGAAGATGTCTTCTGTTAGCTTATGGCAGTGTAAACTGGGCTTCAGGATGCCCTTTGTTTATTTGTTTCTTCAACTGTATTATGAATCAGTATAAGAAACTGACTTGACAATGTCATTACAGGGATGAATCTTACGTAAGGAAATCTTGGTGGCTTGTACAAGATGGTACTTGTTCTTTTTTGATAGCAGCCTGTTCTGTCTGTCTCTAGGTACAGGAATGACTCTTCCCACAGGTGTCACAACCTGTCTCCTAGAGTGTTTAGATGTAGATTCAACTGTAGATTGTAACACAGGTGCTAGCGACAACCTGAACAGTTGCCCGTCCCCTGAAATATTCAGAGATGATGATTCAGGTGAGACTTCTGCCTCTTTGAGCTTTATTTGATGTAGAAAATGATGTGGGGGGACTGCCTACAATAGAAACACTAGTGGCCTCTCCTAGTGTGACTCGCCAGGTCAGATCTTTGTTATAAGCCAACCTTTGCTTAACATGGGATGGGATGTGTATACCTGGGTCCTCCAACCTGGTGTGCATGAGGTGTAATTTGAAGCATATTGTAAGCTTTAAGTAGTCACTATTGACACAAGCTGCTTATTGAGGGTGACCAACAAATCTGCTTAGAGTCAAACACCTCCAAATTAATAACTCAATGTACTTCAACATAAGAATCTTGCACGCACTTCTTTTATGTCCAGAAAGAAGTCATTTTCACACTGAGGACTTCAGCAAGTACAGGAACTCTACTCTCCTGGACTCCAGCAAAGCAGTGGCCATAGATAAGATGCCACAGATCTCAGATCTGTCAGCAATATTAGGTAACTCTTTTCTGCAGTGCTTCAGAATATATACCTAAACAGGTCTGACTCCAGTGCAAGGAACTTGTATTAAATATGTAATGATCATTTAAGGCATGTCTGCAAAATAGGGACCAGCTCCCTGCTAGTGGTCTGTGTTTGCTTCTAGTATTTTGCTTTGCTCTTCAGTGTGTGCTAAACCATTGTCTGCTCGGCTGTTTCTTTTAAAGTTTAGCTTTTGTGTTTTTCTAGAACCTGTACCGGAGGATTTTCAATGCCAGGGCACCAGAAGGTAATCTGCAAAACGGGCTCTTTAACGCACCAAAATGTTCAGGTTTTTCTCTTTTGAATACTATTTCAAAGAAAGGCCCATATGAATATGCCTCTGATCCTACAAATGATTCTGTTGAGTTTTAGCTACCTGTGTCCTCCCTAACTTTGAAATCAGTGCATTAAGCCAGGTAAGAGTTTGCCTTAGAAGCTTTTGTTTTGGTCTTGCAGGTGTAGGGAAATCAGTGTAAGAAAACTCAGTGATAGATTTTATGGAAGATTTTATGGTGAGGTTTATTTACAGAATCCCCAAACAAGTTGCTTTTATCCCATTGCTCTTCTGCTGTCAGATTTATTCAGTCACAGGCAGCAAGATGTGTGTGCCCAGGTCTGGCCAGGACTGCCTGTGCAGTGCAGAGTAGGAAGGGTACCTGTTGTCAGGTCCTTGTTAAATCTCTGGTGTTCTGTGCTTGCCCAGGACAAAATTAGGTCTTGGGCAGATCTTTTCTGCTCTTTGCTCCAGAATCTTGCTTGACTCCAGCCTTCATTAACCTTGGATCAGGTTGCTGCCTGCTGTCAGGGTTTTTATTCAGAGGACATGTCTACTAGAAAGAGAATATAGTGTATGCGATAGCTGTGACCCCGTTGCCACGCTCCTGTTGTTAGGATGCCAGGTTTCCTGTTGACAAGTCATCTGTGGTGTGGTTTTATCACAGCGAAGGGTCTTCTACACTTGGCCTTGTCACAGTGCTGCCGTCAGGCCCTGATATTAAAACCTGAGTGTTTTTATAGCAACAGTATCATATCTTGTAACCCTTGTACTGCTGTTTCCAGTCTTCCGTGCAAACATTTCCATTCGTAACACATACCAATACTAATGTTACATATCTCTACACAATTCAATCTGAATTTTCTTGTGAACCTAACTTTCCCCTGCATGTTCCTCAAACATCTTTTGTCCTAATGCACTTCAGTGCTGAGTACTTTAGTGAATGTGTCTCAAATACCAAGTATCTTCAGAATAAGCTGTGTGACTTGATGATAAACTGTCAAGTAACAAAGTGTGATGAAGTACCTCAATAACAGTATTTTTACAACTAAGCTTTATCCCTTTTCAGGATGTATTTTCCTATGATTTCCTTACACATTGCGTTTTTTTCTGAATGCTAATATTCCCTCAGATTAGTTGTTGACTTTCTTTCTTCTTCCTCATCCCCTAGAAAGAGACCACCAAATTTCCAATACAGCTCTTCAGCACTGAGTGTTTCAACTACTCTGGCAGGTAAAATGTGACCTGAAGCAGTTGCAGTAGCTGTGAGACAACAGAATATTCTACCCAAACTGAAATGATAGCAAAATACCAGGAGCAGGCTTCCACTGGGTCATTTGTGCCCTTGGCACAGGCTAAGCTCAGTTGTGTCTAGAAGGGAAAGTGTGAATTGAAAGTCTTTCCTGTAAATAAGACTTGGCTCTAATTAATGTGTTAAGAACAAAAAAAGCCCCAAACTTGTGTCTTTTCCATTGAATCACTTGTGATGCTCAATGAAAATTAACATTTCTTATTTAACTTATCCAGGAGCAGAACTGTATCATGCTTCTTACTTGAACTTAATTCAGCTTCACAAATAGTGTGAGGAGTCCCTCATGTAACTACAGTTCTGAACTGTGACTGATGCTATTCTGGCTGCGGCCCAGGTACCACGTAATTTGTCCCTGCGTAATCTGGACTGTAATAGCAGCTGCCACTGGCACAGGCTGCTATGATTATGTAGCTCCTCTGCTTCCACAGTACGTGTGTCCAGCAGTAAATAGCCAGCTGAACATAAGATTGATAAGGAAGGGGAGAGGAGCAAAGCAACTCTGTTGGTAGGGAGAGGAAGATGAGGATTATATTGAAGGGAGGAAGTGTGTTTGCAGGGGTGGCTTTGGAATGATCCCTCTTTGAAAACCATCCTGGAAGATACATGTTGGAGTAGCTGTGTTTTTTGTCTCAAAGTTAATTCATTTGTTGGCAATTCATCACAGGGAAAAAAGTCTGTAGAATTACAGCTGCAAGAGAGAGAACTCCGGTCCTAAAAACTGGCATGCGCCATCCTTCACCGTTAGGACTGGAAAGAAAGGTGAAAGATCTTTAACATATCAGCTAGGTTGTGGCACAGATGACTTGCTCCTTCCTTGTAGAGGTGGAAACTCCACCTGGAAGTGTAGCCTTTCCCTGGAAAGGGGTGCCCCACAGAGGGTGAAGCTGTAGCTTGCCTCTCCCTCTGGACAGCAGTAATAGTCATGGGTACCCCCGAGCTCACTATCTATCAGACTGACTGTGTCAGTGGTACTGAATCAGTTGTGTAGAGCTTGAGGATGAGTGGGACTCTCTTTATTAGAGCTTACCAGACCACAGAGATTCACTTTCTAACGCAAGATGTAATTGTTTCACCCTTTAGCCTGACACTCAAACTGCTAAACCCAAAAGGCTGAAGTGTAAGAAACGAGAGAAAACTAACACATCAGAAGAAGCTGCATCGTTGTTCACTCAGGTTGATGTGCCAGCAAACACGTCAGCCAGATCAGCGGGGCTGACTGCAGAAGAACTGCCAGCCAAAGAGGCAGATGCTGTGGTGGTAAGTGTCCCCACTGCACCCTGCTCATGAGCAAAAGGCACAGCATGGAAGTGAGAGTTGTGAATCGTCACAAGAATCAAATATGAGAAGTAGTAGGAGGTGCTTTATCCCCTAGTTGTGAAGGGGACCTGAAAAGTGTGTGTTCTGTCCTGCAGTAAACTCAGTTTGGAAAGCTTAAGTGAATGACAGGAATTGAGATTTGAAACCCAAAGAACTATCAGTGATTCTAAATGGAGTTGTTATAAATAGTATTATGTACATGGGGAATGCTGGAGGACTAAAACTGCAGAGAATTTGAAACTAACACTGAATTCTTCTCTGTTTTTGTTTAGCCAAGGAGTTCCAGGAGTTTGCTGAACAAAGAGGAAAATAAAGCCTTGAAGAATCTTGGTTGTGCTCAGCCTGCAGAGCTAGATGTGAGTGTGCATCCTGATACTCCTTTTTACTCATTAAAACCAAGCAAGTCTTCTGCCTGTCATCTTTTAATTTCCCTAGAAGAAAGCTTGAAGAGTATTTCTTCACTGGGAACAGCAGTGTGAATGAACTATCATTTATCTTTTCAGCCTCTGTGTGCCAGACAAGAAATCTGCTCCATTGTTAGAACTTCACCGTGTCAGAGGCCCCCCAGGCTTTGCCAAATCCCAGTTAGCTCAAAAGCATTTTCCCTTCCCGAAGGAGTGCCTGAAGGTAAGAGCATACAGAAACAGGTCACTGGTGCTCACTGGCTATTTGAGTGTTTAAAGGTTGGGTGGGTTGTTTTCAGGGCTGAATATCTGGGAAAATCACAAAGCTAAAGAGTAAAAGACACTGAAAACTTCCAGTTTCTGACTTGTTCTCATGCAGCAGCGCTTCCCTAACAAACTACACTGATGTTTTCTCTTCTGAGGATCTTTAATGTAGGAATTCATACAATCTGCCCATTTTATCAGCTTAGATTAAAGCCAGGATGTGCCACGAGATAACTTTGGGAATATCTGCACCTCTTCAAGTTATTCCTAAACACAGCTTTGAGCTTCACTGCTGGTATGGAGAATCCCTAGAAAAGATAACAGCCTGTTTCATAAATTATTATCCTGTGCCTTATTTCTAGGGTGAATACGTCTGACTTGAGCTTTCAGCCCTTGGTGTGTTTCATATCTTGCTCAGCTAAATTCAGCTCTTTAGCACCCAGTATTTTCCCCCCCTGAAAGTTGTTCAAGTAATGGGGTGTATTTTTCTTTAGAGAGTACCAGGTTCTCTCTAAAGGTTTCTGTTCTTTTCCCCTGAGACCCTTAACAGAGGGGAAGCTCCTTTCTTCACTTCCTAGATTTTCATTAAACAGAAATGAGAACTCTGAACCAAACTATCTAACTGCAGCCAGAGGTAAAACCCCCTGATCTCTCTTGAAGTTTCTCGGTGCGCCACTGGATGGCATGTGTCTGCCTATGTTTCAAGCAGTTCTTTTACAATGTCTGCAAGTTTCCTGCAAGAGGTATTTGTCATTTACTCTGCTTTACTTTAATAAAGTGATGCTGTATAGGCATAATAGCTTTTAAACATACTGAATATACACACATTTTTGATGGAATTGCATCTCTTAGGTCCAAATACTCTCCCACTTTGTTACAGATTGAGTTACATACAGCATCTAGAAGGCAGAGAAGTGCTTTTAAGTGTTTGTTTGTATTAATGACAATCATCTGATGCTTCTGTAGAGATCATGGATTAAGGGTGTTACGCCGTGTGCCCAAGGGAATTGTGCTAATACAGAACATAGGTTGTACTTGTAGGCAAGTGGATTTTGGAAATCAGCAAGTGGTGGTGCCAGAACAGGTTTGGGGTTGTTAATACTTTTCTAGAGGAGTCTGGGAATTGGGAATTAGACTGCAGAAAGGTGATGGTGGGGTTTTTATGCTGGAGATCTGCTCAAGGAGTCTTCTGGATGACCCTCTTTTCCATTAAGAGGGTACATATACTCAAAACCATCGTTGTCACTGGTAATTGACCTACAAGATTCAGATTCCTTCAGCCAAACAAGAGCTGTCTGTTGAACATCCAGCCAGCTTGTCCATACAACTTGCTCTTACAATCCAGAATGTGTCCCTTACTGATAGCATTTAACTTGCCACCTTTTTTCCCCCCCAGATATTATTACAAGTACCAAAAACTGGATCTACTGTAAACGCAGATGAGGCTTCTGGGTTTCAGCAGGATCTGATAGAAGAAAACACTGTCTGCTGCTGTGGAAAGAGGTGAAACACAGCTACAAATCAGTAATTAATGGCCCTGTTTTCTTGGCCATATACATTGTTTGAATTTAGTAGAATACTTTGCAATAAGCTTGTAAATACCTGACTCAGTTACTTCATATTAAATTATTTTGTACAAGCAACTACATCTTATTCTGGGCATTGTTCTGCAAGGACTCCATAAAGATAATTCTTCAGTTCATTTAGATTTTACAAACGTGTGACTCGGGAAGAGCAGAACACATTGTATTCATGGAATTAATTCTGCCTCTTGCTCTGCTGCTGCTCTAGACATATCCACTATCATACTGCAGTCCTTCCCATTTCATCATGGTTCTTTTGTAGTATCGCCCCTCTCAGTCAGTGTTTCTTCTAGTGGCTTCAGATTTGCGCAGAGGAATAGGTGCCTTACGTGAATACAAGGGTAGAAAAACCCTTTTTGTAGCTAAACTATCTCAAGAGGAGGAAATTGGCATTCTGGATTTTGAGGTTACTGTTTCAGGCACATAGGTTGGATTCCCAGTGTTTCCAGTTCAGCTCATGGATTGTTAATCCATAAACATTGTTCTTCACCAGTGTGCCAAATGCTTCTGGAAACACTGACAAGAGCACAGTTCCCCTCCACTTGAATTCACTGTAGGCTAAAGTAATCTTGATCCCTGCAGCATTCTCACCACAACACCCCTCACTCAGACTCTTCTGTGCACATAAAGGAAGTTTTTCAGGGTTTTCACATGATATCATGGCTTTCCAAGCCTCTCAAAGTCTGTTTCTCAGTATGATCACCCAGAGTATTCATGCCCTGGACAACAGTTCTGTATTTCCAGAAAGAGCATGCCAAGCAGATGTCTAAAATCCACAGCTTTAATTACTTTGACTACATCTGAAAACACCTGTGATAGTTCAGACCCTGATCCTTTTCCCCATTACTGTGGGCTAGAAGGAAGTGCCAATAAATGCTGCTAGATTAGCTCATGAGCAAGTGTTGTATAAACACACTGTATGGCTTAAGGTTAAAAATGATGCCATTACGTTGTTTTTCCTTTCAGCATTAGCAGCATGAGTTCTGCCAATAACTCCTTGGAGTCCTCTGCGTTTTGCTTCTCATTATCAATAGCCTTGTTCTTACAAATACTGAGCCATGGGTAATTATGCAAGAATCTAGAGCCCCTGGGAGGCAGAGGTGAGCTCCTCCACGTAGTTTTAAGCAAAATTGCAAGTTATGTATCTGGTAAGTTGTGATTGTGATGATTGCTCGAGTAAAGGATGGTCCAGAATAAAAGAGCTGTTTTGCTGTAAGGGTATTGTAGGAGTCCCAGGAAAACCCCCTTCTTTTGCTCCAAACCATTCTGTAGTTCCTTTACACGAACCAGACTAATACTGACAAACTAATTGGGGGAGTGTAAGAGAGGAAAATGCAGCCTGTACCTGGGGAGTTGGTTGTAGCCTGAATATTGCTGAGTTACGCTTTTGTTTCTCTTGATGCGAGGAGGCTGTACAGGAGGATAAAAATATCATGAACCACACTCTCCCTTGTCCTTCCATTCAGTTATGAAAGCGCTGCTTCTTATTGCCATCTTTTGTCTGACTCTTGGAGAAAGCGTAATTACCCACCAGGCCAGCTCCCTGCCCCAGGGAAGGCCAGTTAATTCATTCTGAGGCCGCAACAATATCTGCTCTTGTTCTGCTTTTCTCCAAGGGAAGGCATTTTCCCATGGTTTGGTTTTAAACTGAAGAACGACCACATCAGATTTCATTCAGAGTGGAAACGGGCTCTTCCATATTAGTGGATAAAGGTTACGGGTCACAGCCGGTTCATGGGTAGCACAGAAGAGCTTAGTTTTGCAGTGACTGAGGGGAGAAACATGCTCAGTGTCTGCAGGGCTGCTTGGCACAGCCTGGATGTGCTAAAGTGTGAATGGCTTCAATGGAATCACTCGCAGTGAGTTAGTCCATGCGGCAACTCAGGTATGTTCATCACTAGTGTGTTTAGTGAATTAAAAAACCTCTGTAAGAGGTTTTTCATTAACACTGTTCAGTTGGGTTTATCCTCTCAAGTGTATTTCTAGGAGACTTTAAGTGCTTGGAGACAATGAAAGACGTTCGCTTCTCGTAGTGCAGTACTACAGGGTCGATGTGGTAGCTGGTGGAGGGGAAAGACCAGGCATGGAAGTGGTTCTGTTGGGGCTCCTCACCTCTAAATACTGAAGGGAGAGATTTGGGGCCAAGGCAATGTGCACTGAATGGTCACTTCAGTTAAACCTCTTGCTCTCGGTGTAGGCAGGAAGATTTATCTACAGGAAGGCTGATTGTGAGGAATCATTAGATAGATGTTACGCACTAAATTATGCCTTTTAAAAATCATCTGCTTAATTTAATCTTACATCATGTTTAGTTCCATTCCAGTTTCTAGGGAAAGCACGTGAGTCACTTTTGTTAGTCCTTAATTAAACTTTCTAGTAGTGTTGCATCTGAACAGTGAGACGCTGAAGGAGGCTTTGCTGTAACCAGTGCTTCCATTTCATTTAAGCATTCACCAATAAAGAGTTTTGCAGAAATCCGTGGATCCTTTTGATTTTACAACATCTGTTACCCTTTTTTCTAGCTCGTGTGTTTGCTCTGGAGTCACCTGCAGGGTTTAACGTCCCCAGTGCTGTGTTCCGGCTGCATGTTTGGGTTGCAAGGATGGTTCCCTGCATGCAAACACCTCTTGTGTAGGCTGTGGATGGGGTGCGTGTGCGCTGTGCTGGTTCGGTCACCGCTTCACGCACACGGCAGGAAGGAGGGATCAGGAGCTAGACTGTCTGCGTTTGGGACACAATCAGCCACCCTCCTGCGCTGCGTCCCCGCAGGAGAAGACCGGAAAGCGGTGCCGAGCAGGACTTGGCGCCTGCCTCTTGACCTCATCTCGCCTCTCCGCTGCGTCTGCCCCCAGCTTCCCTGGGAGGGAGGAAAACAACAGCGCCGCCTTCTCACCGCCCCTCGGGGAACACCCCGGCCCTGCCCCTGTCGTGCGCGCCCGGCTCCCACCACGGACCAGGGCAGCTGCCGCGCGTCCCCGTCCCCCCCCTTCCGGCCCCGGTGGTTGCGGCCGCAGGAGCTGGAGCGGACCCCGCCGTGGTGGTGGTGGTTGGGGGGGGGTTCGGCTCCGGCTCCCCCCGCGGGGCCGCCGCTCCCGGCCCGCCCCGCCGGCCCGCCCCTCCCGGCAGCGGCGGGTGACTAATGTCTGTCATATGACTGTGACACCGAATGGAGTCGGGCGGGCGGAACTAGCCGCGGCGAGGGGACGGCGCTGCGCGGAGCCCAGCGCCTCGGCGGCCGGGGGCAGCGGCGGCGGAGCCCCAAGATGCCGCCCACCCTGTTCCAGAAGCTCTTCAACAAGAAGCACGGGCTCATCTCCCCGGCCAGGGACGCCCGGGACGATTGTGTCTTCAGGTAACCGAGCACGGGGCCGCCCTCCTCCCCTCACCCCAACTTCGCCGCCGAGTTCCCTGCCCCGTTCCCCGCGGCTCCCCCCCGCTCTCCTCACCCGCGGGGGCTCTGAGCGGCCCCGGTTCTGGCCCCTCAGGCGGGCTCTGGGCGGGAGCTTTCCCCCTCTTGGGGCCGCCACGTCGGGGCCGCCGCGCTGCCTCCTGCCGGGGCCGCCTCTCCTCAAGCCTGGGCCGTGCTCCCCCCTTCCCTCACGCCGCTGCCTCCCCTCAGCGCGGCCCCCGGTGCGGAGCCGGGCTCAGCCCCGGCCCGGCGCCGCCTTCCTGCGCGATTCGCCCGGTCGCGACCAGCGGCGGCCCCCGCTCCGGGAGCGGGTGTGGGGCCCCGGCCCCCCGCGGCTCGCTCCGGGGATGCTGCGGGCCGGGGCACGGCGCCATTCCGCTTGGATCCCTTGGGAGCAGCCTCGGGAACGTGGAGGAAGGGGGGGGGCGGGAACGTAAAGTTCTGGCCGCTGCCGGAGAGGGAAAGAAGGGTTTCTGGTGGGATTCGTCGTGTTTGAACAGCAACAGAACTGGATCGGCCGAGAGGTGCCGAGGGCAGCGCGGGGGGCAGGAGCCGGAGCCCTGAGCACGCGTCGGAGGGGTCCCAAACCCTCCCCATAGGGTGTCTGTGGGGTCCCAGGCCCTGCCCCTTGGGTGTCTCTGGGGTTCCAAACCCTCCCCGTGGGTGTCTCTGGGGTCCCAAACCCTCCTTTGTGTGCATCTTTGGGGTCCCAAACCCCATGGACAGGGTGGCCCCAGTTCACCAGGGCTTGGTGCAAGGAGCGGCTTCCCTCTGTTTTCTGCTCAGAGGCCTGTAAGTGGGCTTCCCGGGGGTTCATTTTCTTAGGAGCAGGTAGTTTGTGTCTGTAAGATAAGTGCTGTTCCATGGGTGGGTTGTGCTTAGAGTGCTGCAGCCCCGGTCCTGGCTGGCGTGGGGAGGAGGCAGCCTGCAGAGATCATGGGGTGCAAATACAATGTGCTTCATTGGTGAGAGTTACGGGCTGCTTGAAATGCTTCAGACAGCGTGGTAAAGCTCTCCTCCCACCTGCCCTCTTTCAAGGTATTACCCGCAAATGATCAATCAGCACTTGGGTTGCTGTAAGGGGAGTTCTGTGGCTGGTGTGGCTTAACTTTGTGTGGTGGGATGTGCCTTCTAACTGCAGTGGTGTAATCATGGAATACCAGGTCGGAAGAGACCTCGAGGATTATCTGGTCCAGCCTTTAAGCTGAGCAATTCAGGTAGTTCATGGTGTATCTGCAGTGATTTCAGCATCATGGTTTTCACAGGATATTGATGGGTCTCTTAAGTCCTTATGGAATCAGGACACGCTCCCAGGCAGTACCTAAAGTGCTTTTAGCTGTTGGCACACACCCTGTACAGACACTGCTCACAGCTGCTCACGCACCTCTCTGCTGTGTCTTGTCAATGTGGTTCCTGTTTTTAACGGTCTTTTTAAGAGACAAAACCATTTTAATCATGTCTGTTTCATTTTCTAAGTCAGCTGAACAACTGGGGTGAGCCCCTTGGTGGGGAAGGGGTGTGAGGGCTGCTCTGTACAATTGCCTCTTCCCTTAGTGATGGGTTTATGAGGAGATTGTGTGGATTCAATATCTGTAGTGCATACCCTGGGGCAGAAATGTAGGGATCAAGGCTGTGTTGAAGGGAGTGATAGTGAGTGCTTGGCAGGGTCTCTTCTTCCCTCTTCACCTGCATCATCCTACACCAGACTGGGTGTGAAACCCAAGTAAGATGTCGCTGGAAGAGGGGAGATTGAGATGAGCTCTTAGGCAGAAGCGCTTCCCTGTGAGGATGCTGAGGCCCTGGAATGGATTGAACAGAGAAGCTGTGGCTGCTCCATCCCTGGCAGTGTTCAAGGCCAGGTTGAACACAGGGGCTTGGAGCAGTCTGAACTTTAAGGTCTCTTCCAGCCCAGACCTTTCTGTGATTCCCTGCCTGCTCCTTCCTCCTCTGTTCATGTAGCACTGTTTCACATTGTGATGTGAGCTGTGATTTTGCAGTTATTTGGATGGTTTTGCAGACCCACAGGTATAAACCCCCCGGGGGAGGCTGATGCCTCTTTGGCAGAGGCTCTTGGGATGGGTGGGAGACCCTTCAGGAGCCAAGTACCATTTTCTGAAGACTAACACAGATGCCCCCTGGGCTGTTGCCTAAGGGCTGCTTTCATTTTCTATTCAGGGCTAAGTCTCCAGTTAATCCTCACTGTGTTTGGCCTTATCAGTTCCTGGTGGGACTCCTGGACAATACCCAGGCTGTTATTTATTACAGCCGGGCCCTTGGGGACTGGGAACAAGCACTCTGGCTTTGCAGGCTGTTCTTGGTTCCGGTACACTTGTAGGCAACAGCCTCATCACTTATATTTGGGCAAGGTTATGTTTGTGGATTGATGTATTGCTATCTGGTTATATTCTAAATAACAGAATTATTCTGAGGGCTGTTATTTCTGTCCTCAGTTTTAAAGCTTTGTCCTCTTACTGAGGAGAACAACGTTAAAGAATACATCAATTCTCTTGATATATTTTGTGAATAATATGTACTTGGAGAGAAAAGCCCAACTCCTCTGGCAGTGACATTAGTAGAGCTGAGTACTTAAGGATGATTTTGATGCTTATTCTTTTCTTTGACTGTGAATACATTTTACATGTTCATCAGGCTTCCTGGGAAGCTTTACCAGGACATCAGTCCTGTTTAATCGGAGCTTATGATGCTGCAGAAATAAATGCTTTTCAGTGGAAACATACTCTGTTTTGCTGTTGGTTTGTTTAGGGCTTTCCTTTTCCTGCCTGGAATCTCTGTCTGTGCTGTCTGTGGAACTTCAGGAGTTTGGGTCTAACCAGACTGTGTAAAATCCGTCAGAGCTAAGTGCTGGAGACATTAATGTATTTATATATAACTATATAAAGTAAATGTATATAAATATGTTTGGATATTTATTTTCTATATATAAATAAAGCCCCCAGTCTATTTTACAGCAGAAGCCTTAGGAAATCATAACAGATCCACTCCACATTAGTATTCCAGCTCCAGTTTAACTGGCAGGCCTGGCCCTGAGACAGAAACCTCTCGGTGCAGCTCAACATTCAAGGCTTCACTGGTAAAATCTGTTTAGAAGCAGCACAGAAACACCTGCAGGTATTGCAGGGAAGAGGCAAACCTTTCAGTGCCAAGGTGCAGGGTACCTGCTCTCTGCTGCAAATACTCCTCACGTGAGTGGATTTCCCCTGAGGGTAACTTTTACTATAAATAGGAGCTCTTGGCTGTGTTGTAGCATCTGGCACTGGTGCTGCTGGTGACAGCACAGCCCAGGCTTGGGCTGGTATAGCTGGTATGTGGTTTCAGGTCTGTTGTTTTCTATGGTTCAGAATCAAAGTATTCCTGTTGTGAGCAGCTTTATGTGTTTTTAGGTGAGCTGTCTGCTCTACCTGTCTAAAGCGTCTGTCCGTTTCAAAGTAGCAGTTAAATGAGCCTTGTGCCATGATTTTCTCATCGATTTCCCTAGTAAAACAGAAACAATCTCATCAAAGCATCCTTAAACTGAGCAGAAGCAGCCAAGCATTTCTGCAAAGTATTACATGGTAAAATCTGATACCAGAGTTGTGGTCTTCAGAATAGGCTCAGTAAATCCTGACAGCTCTCAGGCTTTCTATCTTTGTTATGAAGATGTGTGGGCACTATTTCCAGTGGTAAACACAGCTGTAGGGACTGCAGCAGGGGTTCTGCACAGGAGTGTGTCTGTTGAGGGAGTAATGGCCCTTGGAGCACTATTAACCTCCTGCAGAGGGAGAGGGATGGGCCTGAATTATGGGACTGGTACTTTTGGGGTTGCGTGGATGGGGGAGACTCGGTGGCGTCTTCCATCTTATGTATAAAGGTCAGATGTTTGTTCCCTTGCATCTCTAGACATGCTTCCCACCTAGCTGGGGGGTAGAGGGGTTATTGATTAGCAGTTCTTTTCATACTGCAGCTCAATAAAATTTCAATGTCATTTTAATATACATATTTTTATATATATACACTTAACATATGTATTTTTATATATATATATGTATATTAATCTAGGCAGCTCTAAAGA